CTGCTGGTCACGATTTTTGTTTGCAACGAACCGATTAAACTTTCACAACGGTACTAGTTGCAGGGATATTTTGAACAGATGATTAGGCCACGACCAATTTACTTATTGGCTCGGAACGCGAGTTACTTGCAGTAGCTCAACACTACGTATTTTCTGGTACTCTGTATCAAGTGGTCTTTTCATATTAAAGCTAATATGCAACAAATACACCTCTTGAGTGATGCTGCTAACGCTAATACAAAAGGCATCCGAGGTCTAAATACTGCCATTTGGACTATTGATCATTTCAACGTCTAAGTGAATCGACTACAACAAATATTCATGGTGGAATTGATTAATATTACCTTTAAACACGGCGCGGTGACCTGGAAAAGCATTGATATAGACATACACCTTGGTTATATAACTGTGGACACTTTATTGATACTACGAATTGTAAAAATGGGTCCTTTGTGGTATGCAGAGCTAAAAACTGAAGATCATTCTGGGGAATAAACCGTTATATTACTAATTAGCAAACTATGCGGATTGACTAACAACGCTGGTTGGTTAAAAAGCTAACCTTGAACACCGCACGCCTTTGATATTGATCGTGAAAGGTGTCTGTGTAATGAAAATAAAAATCCATTCCCGTCTCCGGAGTTTCAGCAAATGTTTATAGGAATACGCACACTGATGACTTGATATGTGAATTGTTTAACAATAAATACCGGTTTGTAAAATTTCAAAAATAATGAATATGACGGTGCTTGTAAACTGGTATCCCTCAAGTTAAACGCATTAATTGAGGATGACATATATTATTATCTAAACTTTAACACTCTGTATACGCTGTAAAGTGATATTTACATGTTCGTTTCGTAACTAGCAGGATCCTCTGCTGTTTTTAATTGAGTTTAATGACATTCCGTCCGTGCCACTCAAAACTCGTAGTCTCGTAGATATTTTGAGATGTATCAACGTGATGAAGCCTGTAAACTGGCTTCTCTCACGTTAGACTTTTTCAGTGTGAGAACAAAATATCTGTTTATTTATTTAGTTATCCTGCATACAGTTGGAAATTTGCAGAAGAAGAAGGTGGGCTGTACGCTTTTGAGTGATTTAAAACCCTTCCAGGTAGAAGACAATAATCAGATGGAATACAGCGGAATGAAATTCCCCTTAGCAATAAGTGAATACTTGCAGGTATCTGTCCAAAGTCAGAACCGCGAAAAACGTAGAATTTTACTGCGCAAGTATTTCATGCCTGAGGTGAGAAACGCTTTTCGTAAGTTTGTACCAAACCATCCGTGTCGACACCTTAATCTAAGAATCTTCTCAATGGCTTCGTTGTGATGACTCACTGTCACTTATCGTAGTAGGGCATTGTTTGGGCCACACAGTTTTTCAGAGGAGAAGCAGGCTGTTCCTCTGGGGCTCAACCTTTGGTGTGCTACCATTGCTATGTTCAAATTTGGCTGTCTATTTTAAGACTTCCGTAATTCGTCTGATCGTAGGTTAGCGGAAGCACCAGTATCCTTGGTTATTGTGCGGAACATTTCGGCAGCAGCTAGATACAATCATCAGCACGCTCCATCAACTCTAGACTTGGTATTCTCTCACACATACGATGTAGGCCTCTTATGGCGCATTCCACCCCTTGGCAAAGCGAAAAGCTCTAGGGTTCGTGGCAGTCATTTTGCTCCGAGTCGATTCCCCAGCAGAGCCCAATACATGGAATTCGAATATAACAGATATCAACTCAACAGCCCGTTCCAAAGACCCAACCGTCAATTCAGAGGCACAAGTTGAGGCTTAATGGTGTTTCTTCAAACGGTTATATGCTCCAGTGAACTGTTCCGAAGGGACGTAGGGAAAGAGAGCTTTGTTTCTATGCAGCCAGCCTAGCTGCCACTGTATTAAGACTGTCCCTCTTGACGGCACTCTCCCCTATGACTGGAAGGGCGCCCTGGCCGTTTCTGTGTACAAAGCAGGTTCCATGGAGCCCCCATCATATTATGGACCGATTAGTTTGGTTTGTACTACACTGAAAATCCCAGGAGGGGTAATCAAGAAATCAATTACGGTTCACCAAGTGAGCAACACTCTTTCGTCTTGTTTTGCAGCATGGCCTTCACAGTATTTCTCATGCCTGACGACCCGTCTCATAGCCAGAAAAATTCTAGTTGGGTCCAAGAGTGATAAGATGCCCACAGACGTCACCTTCATAGGCGTAGTGAGGTGTGTGACAAGCCACCTCACTCCAGGCAGTTCGGGAAACTGAAATGTTTCGGAATCACTGGCAGTCTACTCACGTGCGTTGGAGGGCTCCTTATTGGTGGAGGACAAACATTTGGGATCAGTTCTCAGCTGTTTTCTGGGGAGGAGGTAAGAAAGGAAGCACCTCGAGCCCCAGTCCCGGGCCCTCTGCTATTTCTCCCGCACATAAATGAGCTTACGAAAATCACGATACCGCCTGTTGCTCTCAACGTTGATGACGTAAAGTTCGGACGCGAAACCAGGGATGATGAGGATTCACACGCACTTCAGACCTACCCGAGCAGCTCATTTACCTTGTCAGAGGACTGGGTGATGCTTACCAAGACAGCTAAATGTGTGACAATGCACGTAGCGCACACAGCTGGAAACACCTAGGATGTTGGTGAGTAATACGGTGGGAATAAAATTGCTGCAACTTACGTAGAAGGTCACAAATCCCTGAAACTTTCAGCGACCAATCATATCGCACCGGAAGTTTTAGGGAAAGCGCATGAACCAGCGTAAATATCAGATTCGTTGAAGGAGCTAAAATCGGTAAGACGTTCAAATCTAGAAAGGCCTGGCAGTAGTCAAGTCCATCGAAAGTATTCATAAACCCCCATATTTTGCACACATTTTGATGTCACAACTCTCGTTCCGTTACATTGCTGCTCTTTCCATTAATCGAGAAACCGAGCCACTGCCAAGGGGTGAAATATGAAGGTTATTACTCAAGCGTCCATACATATATAATTTAGGTTGCAGATACAACAAGCGGCGACTAGGTTATGAAACTGGCAACTGGAGTACAAATATGGGGTGCCCCTACCTTAGCCGCTGACCTACAATAACTTTGAAGTTGCAGTAAGTTGCGATTTAAAGACCATGGCACACTGTTGGCTGCTCTCGCAGAGCGTTTGCAAGAAGTGGCAATCCTTTATCATGTTACACACATCCTGGGTCAGGTTCAAACTAGAAAATTATACACAGACTGTAAATGCCTGTTTGAAGGGTGACTCAGACCTACAGAAGGTTCAGAGATCAGCCACTCCTATGATTCCCGTGGCGGTCGGCCTTAGCGACGGTGATCCAAGTAGGGATCTAAACCATTTCTCTTTATGCAGCGGCAGGCAGAGATGAGAACCTATCACGCTATTCAGGTTCCAGGGGGATGACTTTGAACATGATCTATCGTTTTTTCCCCTCTCGCCAGGTGGGCATGGCTCAGAGGATGTAGCAGGAGAATACGAGACCGAAGGATGAACGTAGTCTTCATAAAGTACCGATTCTCGCTTCGAGTCATCAACCCTGGAGCCGGCCCTCAGAAGAGGTGGTGTTGGAGTTATCACTTGAGTTGTTCAAAAGAAGGCTGAGCAAGCACATAGATATACTGGGAAAGGATGGTATAGGCTCATAGCCTGCCATCCTCAGACAATAAATCTGAATCTGAAATTCTCAGTAGGCTCAGATATGAAAAACTGAGAGGGCAGTTAATGGATGCACCAGTCCGTAGACTGAACTTGTCTTACAGCGGATAACCCCTAGAGACGGGTGAAGGAAACAACCCCTGGAACCGTCAGCCTCAGTGTGCCAGAGGTGGCACACTGGCTCCCAGCGGGACCTTCAAGGCTGAAGCACGGGGTAATTGGGCTACTTCACGCTGGAAAGCAAGCTTGGTTCAAGAGTCATTCATCACCTAGGGGGTCCGGCTTGTTGCAGTACTGAAGAATTTTCAGCCACTGCAACATTAAAGTCCACAGAGATAGATTGGGCCAACAAACTGACCTGAAAAGCTTGAACCGCTTCGTGTCGAAAAGTAAGTCAACCAGCGAAGGGTATAATCTTATCGCGGGTCTCAAGGGAGATGTGCTAAGGAGCTTAGAGATAGCTGAGCTTCTAAGCTTCAGCTGAATGCTAAGACTTTTGAGGTTTTGGGTGGGACCAAATAAAGCCAACACATGTTTTCTTCTCTACCCTAATGGAGCGAAAACCTACTGAATTTGGTCTGTCGCAGAAATAGGCGTTACCTGATGGCCTGCCAGGTCATCCATCAGGCAGGTCATGCAAACAAACTAACTTTGCGTGGAAGATGGTGATCACGATATGGGACCCCCACCTTGGTGGCAGATCAAACGGCTAACACCATGCTTAGGTCGGGCTTTTTCTTCACGAGAGTATGCGCTTTGTGGAATGCCTTGCTGCGGGATGCGGTCACAGTTCCCCCTTGTAGACTCATTCAAAAGACGGTTAGACAGTTACGCTAGTCGAATGGAGTGTCCTTGACATAGATAGGAACCTTCTGGCCTCACTAGCCCGCCACCACTTCCTTCCTATTTATCGTTCACCATCTTTGTTGTTGATACACCGGCAGTATCTACTAACTCCTCTTTGGTGACTAAACCCATACTATCTACTTCCACCTTTCAGGTAAGTTCCATGTACCTTTTCCGACTATTTTGCCATTCCTCTTCAGTCACCCATGCAGACAGGGGTCACGAGAGACGCCTAATCGACGCAGCCATATGTAGCTCCCTAACTATGTCAGTCCACAACCCACACAAACCAACCAACAAAACATACCTCTTAGGAGAGAAAAAACAAGAAGGCAGGAGGGATTTATTTGCCCACAGCAGGAGGCAACCGATAAACAAGAAAAAAGCACAAGAAAGTGGACGCCAGAAATCACAAACTATCAGTTTTTATGGTCGCGTTATTGAGGTTGGATGTTGGATTTGCGGGATATGCAAACTCTAGGTCAAGTTATGAAGGAAGAGGGTGAAATATCACTATTCAGCTTTTTAGACTGTTTGGTTTCAAGGTGGACAACCAAAATAAATAGTCACAAATTGAATCTGAAAAGACTTAGGAGGCAACTTAGGATTCAGTCATTTGATTTGGCTTTTATATTTCAGAAGGGGCCCCACAAGTTTGGTTGTATAGTTTAAGATGCATGTTGTAGATATTCTCATGGAACTGTCGTTCATCCACGGAGCAGTCTTTGTGAGAGAATCTCCGAAATTTTGGTAGCAGACTTAAGGAACTCTGGGAAGGACAAAAGCGCTCGGCGACTTGCTGTTTTAGTCAGCAACCTTCCTAAGAATACGGGTACCGTGGTATTCTGAATTGACAAAGTCTAGAATGCACTAATAACCTGCTGTTTCTGTTCCTTGTGGCTACCTCTGCACCAGAGAGTTCAAGCGACTTTGAGGCATATGAGCAGTACCAGGTGGCTTGTCTAGTTCTTATCATCACCTTTAGGTTCCCCTGAATCCTAGCTCTTCAATTTCCTACAGTAATCCTACTGGGTAAGCTTCCAAATTCTGCTTATATTATCTTTAGTGCATTGCGACATCTCAGCGTATTTTCTTCTGTGCAACCACGGGCTTCGTCTACTGCTTCAGCAAGTGTAATACTGTGCGGTTGTTTTGTATTCGATTCCATTATAGGCTTATAAGTTCATATCCGGGAATTCTGTATTCACCAGACAGTGTGATCATCCTTCCCGGGGCAACTTATGCAGTATCACTCCTGGAATTATCTCAGGTTGCATTCAAACGAGCGATAATCTTAGGTCTTCACAGTGTGCAACAGCTTCTTGGTGAGTAGTTTTACTGAAGTTTTCACATGAATTTAGTTACAGATAGAATTTTATCTTAAATTTTTTCGAACTTTAACTCATGAATCTCCAACATAACTTTGACATCTTGGTCAGAACTCAGAAATCAAAGGATCCTTTAGTGCAGTTGTGTCTGTTGTGGACAGTAGTTTTTTCTGAAGATAGGGTTGTTTTAATCTAGCTTCATATCTTCAGCTTCGAATGACAACCGTATGGCAGGACGGAGCGGACTGTAGCACAGTGTACTCTTCCTTTGGTAGATGACTATTTCTCAGACGCCTCAGATGACGGTAGTTGGCGAATTCCCGAAGGATCTTTTGTATCCAAGCCGGAGTTTTGTCATCAGCGAGGCCGTTTGGGTCAATATGATTCGCTGAGTAAGTTAACTGGTCGCCGCATTCAACCACTTCATTCTTTATCCTTAAACTAGTAGTTGCAGACCAGTCTTGAAGCATCATCTTGCATTTGACAGGTGCGAGATACATTTCAAATTTCTGCCCAACATGCTCAGAAAACCCTGTATTTTGTCAGCATCTTCATCTGGCAAGACTATCGTCTGCGTACTTCAAATCAACCAGATACCCTCCAAGGGGTAGGTCAACCGCTGTAAAGTCAGATGTACCTAAGGTTATGTTCATCAGTATATCTATGGCGAAACTAAATAAGAACTATGACAGCGGGCATCCCTGGTGAACACCACTACTTGTCATCAATTTGGATGCCAGCTCTCCGTAAGCCGTTATACAGTTGGGTGGGTTCGACCAGAGGGATTTGCGTGGCGTTATGTACTTGTTGGGCACTCATTTCACGGTCAGATTGTCACAATACCTCACGATGAACTGGGTCAAGTGGTGCCTTCTGGTCAATAAATATGGCAGGCGTCAGCCACTGGTAGGTATGCCTGTGTTCCAGAACCTGTCGTAGGGTGAAAATATAATCGATGCATCCTCTTCCAGCTCTGTCTGAAACCTCCTTAGTTTACTCAAGTTTTCTGTTCTCGCGCTCAAGTTAGACGTTCGATAACTATGGGTCCTAGGATCTTGTATGCAATGTTAGGCAAACCAATTTTCCTATGGTTTTCACAAGAAGACTTATTTTCCTTTCCACTTTTCATCCCCTTACTATGCCTTTTACCTCCGTCGCTTTAATCAGCAGTTTCCTGCCTTCATCCTTAAAAACTCCGGGTATCAAACTGTCAGGCTGTGCTACTTTGCATCGTTTCAGGTTCAACACAGGCTTCTCAGCGTTGAGGAGAGTTGGGCGACCTAAATCTGTGTCCTGTTCAGGTTCCGGCTAGATGTTGGGGAACTTAAGCTTTGCTAGGGGCCAATGGGACTGTGCTTCAGTGTTCGACCCAACTATCTAACCGTTTGTCCTGAGTTGTCATCACGGTATCATCCTTTTTGATGATGGTCTCACCGTCATCCGTATCCTTAATAAACCGAAATAGTTACCGGATATTACCTAATGCGAATGTTTCCTCTCTTTCACTTTCGTAAGTTACAGAATATTTTTAACCAATATTGACATACTGCGTAACCATTACAGGTATTCTCCCCACATCACTAAGGAGCTGGTTTTATCAGACTATTGCGATCAGTAGGCCTAACCGTAGGTGTACAACACTATTGCCGTATTTTGGGGGCGAGTTTCCACCGTAGTTATCTTTCACTGTTATTTAGATGTCACATCATGGCAGCTAACAAAAGTATCCTCTTGGGCAGATTAAAAAGTGAATTATTTGTAGCTGATATTGCCATCCTATATGAAACTGAACTAGATTCAAGGCTAGTTGTCTGTTTCTTATAAATCAAATACAGGTATGGGCATCACTTAAAGGATACCTTGGAAATAGTGAGTAAAGTTGCTCGTGGTTTCGAAAAATTTCCTGTTGGTAAATACTTTTTCTGAAAGTCCCTTGATAGCGATCAAAATGAAAACTGTAACGACCCATTCAACTTATCGCGGTGTAGGTGTTTACATATTAGGTTATTAGCTACGTATTTTGAGGGCTTATGATACTATCCGGCTGTCCAGGTTCAAGTACGTGGAGCTGAACTCCAACCTACAACTCATTGGTGAAAAATCGAACGCTCATCCCAATAAGTCACCTGTCTTTTGTTTCAAATTAGGAGTGATATCTTCTAATTTCGCCACCTATATTTGTTTGATAGTGACATCCTGAGATAGTTCTATAAAGGATTGCATGGTGGTGTGGATCTGTTACCCATGAAGGATCTTTCCAACTGAGTATATGAATATCGTCTTACTGGATCATGGCATTATAAATTCTTATCGTGCGTAGTCAGTTGACTGTCTGCGTCTGTTATACGGTTTGTACTATCAAGGCGCATAATATTTTCGCAAGATTGGCCAGAGAATTTGTTTATGAACGTCCCTAGTGGTGTGTTATTGAAAGTTTATGTCTAATTAGTTGCTTAGATACTGTTAGGGGTATGTTCAATTAAATTTCAAACCTTAATTAGAAAACCAGAGTAACTTGGTCAATCTGGGTTTTGTTTGGCGCTTTCGATTTCTGGTATACGAGAATCATATGTGGGCAGTTTGGCTGTTTGGATGTGAAACTTAACCCTTGTGGGCTAAGGATATTTGACCGTTTTATGTTTGATCTACGCTATCTTCCTAAGACTGCTCGCCTTTGGAACCACCATGCAAGCGATTCTGAGGTCTAGCCTTTTTTTCTAGGTCATGATGAAGACAGTTATCTAAAAAGTAGTCGTCCTGAAATATTCTCATTAGCTTAAACATGTTTCTCATGAGTAACAAAATTTTAGTTGGAACCTGCACGAATGAGTTCAAGCGTACCCATTTATTCAGAAAACAGTGTTAAGGTTCATTGGTCCTTTCTAACCTCTTTCTGATGCTCTTACAGTTTCCAGCGTTGTTTTTAAAGGAGACTTGAGATGACATTAGGTTTCTTCCGGATAAATGCTGTTGTCGTGTTCCGATAGATATCTAGCCAGCTACTTGATGAACAAAAGCTTAGTATTTCCATCGTTGCGCTGCATCTGGAACGTTTTTTTTGGCTACAGTTTTTCTACATCCATTTAGTTTCAGACATACGCATGTTGGAAATAACGCGTCATCACTGTTGAACCATGTCCAGAACAGGTGACATTCTCCCACTGACCATCCTCAGCAGCATTTGATAGCAACGTAGTCTATGTGTAGCTGTGATTCATTGGTCTAGGTTCTAGGCTTTCAATCAATGGATCATGAGTTCGAACCCCTCTCGACCTAACGAGATGCAGATAGCCAGGTGGTATTATTATCTCTCACACACTAGTTATGTCTAACTGCCTAGTACATCAGTGTATATTTGGTTGCATTTCGACTTTTTTGAGTAAGATTTATATGTCTATCTTTGGGTTTAGGTTGGTGGGTGCCACGTTAGACAATGTCTATTTTGTGTCTGAAGTTCTTGCTAATCAGAAATACGTAGGTGTCTGAGCAAAGTTGTAGCAGGTATCACCGTAATCCGTTCATTGGGCTGGGATTCTGAAAATGCCACTCAAGTGACTCTGCCCTACTTATCCTACCCATTTACCCATCGAAATCGCCTGCTGTGATAATCAAATCTCAACGTTTGGTTCCAAGTTTTCAGTAGGAGGCCAGAATATTTTCCATAGAGCTCATCTTTCACCTCATCTGAACTGCAGTCATTGAGTGCGTAAGTAGAGATTACAATGAGACAGCAGCGAGTTTCACTGTTTTTTTCTCACTTCACCATTCAGTTCAGGTGCTCATAGGTGATTGTCAACTGAAATCCATTCAAACAGTGCGCTTCCAGCCTTAAAAATTAACTCTGTGCTTACATTTATAAGACCACGAGAACTTGATGAAAGTGAATACGATTATTGCATTCTTATAAATGGGTGTTTATGTAATTGTTATTGAACAACATGAAATACAAGAAGTATGTGGATTTCTTTAATTTCCTGAACGGCAAAAGGTGTTTTAGTCCTGGATTGCTTTGTGGATAAAAATACTAAAATTCCAGTTATTGTTCCCCTTGCATGGATCTGAATATATGAGTTCGGGTAGTTATTACGTAACATGGTTTTAAACATAAGCGTGTTACAACGTAGGTATCAAAAGTTACTCATCTACCCAGTACAGTTCGAGTTTATCTAATAGAGTTAGAACCACTCTTGGTGAATGAGAGTCTATGAGAATACCCAGCTGCCCAGGTTAAAATAGTATGGTCAGGATTTTAACCGGCAACACTTGAAATTTCGATGCGTAGACCAATAAGCCGTAACTATATAGCATGAAGACTGTAATTATTACAAATTGCGAACTGTAGTTATGTTACATAGTTCTGTTACGAAGTCTGTACAAAACTTCTTGTTACCCATGTTAGATGATAGTGTAAAGCTTTGGTGTTGTTTTCTCTGAGCAGAATTGTTTAGTCGTGGAGCTTTCGTTGTCATTCTAGACATCTGAAGTTTGTGCTGATGATATTGTCTAAAATAACAACGAAAGCTCCATGATTAAACAATCCAGCTCAGAGGATACAACACCATCAAAAGTATCCTCCTGATCTGCAAATATTTTCCACCATCCCAAAATCCTATGATAGTGTAGTCTTCGAAACTTGTCTATATGGACAAGTTCAGTGATTAGAGACTTGGTGACCAACTGCAAAGGAATAAGAATGTTCAAGTTCACTCACTTTATCCTCTTTTAAATCTTAGGACCTTTATCTACGTTTGCTTATTTCGTTATTGTTTCATTTCAGTGTTTTCTTCTTTCTTGTTATCTCCTTGTTTTCTTTATAAATGTAAGATTTTTAACTGGACGCCTAAGCTGTTTTCTACGTTATTTGCTTTATATGCTTGACGTTCCTAATATCACAGAATTTGAACTAGTTAAACTTCAATTCTTGTCACGTTTAACTCAGTCACATACACTCAGTCTTCTATCCAGTTTGACGAGCGTTTGGTTGATTGCGTAGTACTTTTATAAAACAGTTGTGTTTCAGCACTTAGTGAATGCGTGTTTCAATAGTTGTCGAATTGCACCATTTTTTTACACAAGATTATAGGATAACATTCTTTTTGCGTCTTTGATAAACGGCGGTATTGGTTTTGAACCCCAAGCAATTTGTTACGATTTCAAATTTTTGAGGACTAGTGCCTCATAAAAATGACATGTATCATGTGGAACACCAAGTGGAAGAAGTTAAAAGTAAAGGTTTGTTTAAAGATCGAACTTTTGGTCACCCCTTTCTACGTTATGAAGTTTCATAGACCATAATGCATACATGTGAATATATTGTTGGTGAATGCAGTGTACTGAATTTCATGACACATTTCTGTTCTTGTTTTCATTTCTTAGTGAAGAAGCAAATTTTACTCGTCCCTCGGTAACTCATGTTTCCTTCTGATTAATCCTGTTTTATCAGCCCAGGATGATAGATGAGGAAGATGAAGGTTATTGCGAGTTAAGTTTTAGAGCAGATAACCGCCTATTGAATTGCGAAGATATTGAGAATATTGTATTGCGTCTTTTTTCTCAACACTCCCCAGCTATTGGTCAACTTTTGGTCAATGAAATATTTTTTCCATCTTTCGAAACCCATCGCAGTTGGGTTCCAGGTGATGAAACCTTGTTAGCTAACAAGGATCTGAAGACTATTTTGCCGCTAATTTCCTCAAATTCTGTCCAACGTTTTTCTTGGGAATGTAGAGGCCTGTAAGTTTTTGTTTTTGTTATACACTTGTAGTTTCTTAAAATCTCTCTGTATTTCGGATGAAGATTACCTGCTTTAAGAAAATATTTTTTTTATTTCCTGACATCAGAATACGCAACTGAGTCCGTAATGACATAGCGACTTGAATGCAAACTTATCAGTAGTCTGCAAATAGTTATGTGAACAGTGATATTCTGGTAATATCGTAAAAAGACAAATTATTAGTATTAATGGCTGGATATTTTAGTTTATTTGACAGGCTATAAAAGATAGTTATTTACATTATGAACTCAAAGTCAATGATCTGGTCTCACCCCAAGTTGTTTGAAAGTGTTTTGAACACGTTATCTGTTAACTGTAATGTCATGTCAACTAGGATTATATTGTGGGGTGTGTGCGGTGATAACTAGTGATAATACATAAAAAGCCATGCCTTCGTAATTGCAACATAGTATTCATGTTGACTTATGAACTCTAGGGAATGTTAAATGTGACTGAAACGTATTAAAACTTGGCGTGTTAGTGCATTTCGCGCTTTTACTGTTGTATTAATGGTGTGGTAAACTATGAGCGAAAAAACGATAGAGAAATAGTCAAGAATGACTTTAGCTGTATAGTTATAATCAATCTTCCTTCGTATCACCCATTATTTTCAAAAACTTGTCATTCTACTAGCGATACCAAAATGTCAAATCCCTTGTTTCGAGAGCATATAATTTAGCTCCCAAGTTGAGTAGGGACAATACACTTTTACGTACTCGCATAATACCTCCCTGTGAGCTTTTATCAAGATCCGGGAAACTGCACTGAGTTAGAGAATAACGAATCACTTGTCACCAAATCAGGGGACAAAAAGTATCTAACACTGCCATCAGGAGGAGTTTTTTAAAGTTGCAGTTATACCAAAATACAGCGATTTATCGACATTTCAGTTTCCATAGTAGATTTCGCTTTTTACTATGTTTGTACCATCTTCATACTTTGTCCCTCATTCTTTTCAGCGGACGTTTTAACAAAGAAATGCCTTATTTGAGTGAAGTTGGTTCGATTTCTGTGGAAGCTGTATTGGCACTTAGAAAAGAAAGGTTTGGTTTCCTGTCAGGTAGTGGCGAAGACACCGAAAAAAGAGAAGATACTTTATCAGACGACTTGCAGTTCCATAGCACTGCACTCAAATCAGTTCCTACCAAGGACAACAGCTTTATTCGTGATCTTTTATTGATGAGAATTGGCATTCAGTCTGAAAGGTTTCAGTACTTTTCTGACTCCAGATGGACATCTGTTCAGAATGAAAATCGGACACATCCTTCTTCTCACCCGTTAACCGGTTTCTTCATGTGGGTACCAAACAACCAAGATTCTGTTGTATTGGGTGTTTCATCTCAGTGTTTATCAAACTTCTTGAGTAGTCACCTTAAGGCTGGAACTCAGTATAGGAAACTGTGTTGGTTCGCTTACCACGTTATCTCACTCATCCCGACACCTACAACAACTGATGGTCCTATCTGGCGGGGACAAATTTGGACATGTTTTGTTCAGGGACTGAAAACTTGGTTGAGTACTTACGAAAACTCAATTCACACTTTTCTGTCGGAGCTCTCCGGTAATCATAACTATGGACTTCTTCGTACCGCAGGCGTTTTACGCCGCCTTTCAAAGCAGATACAGTAAGTTTTTGTGAAGTCCTGAATGGAACCTTTTAAAAGTGGTATCAAATTGTTGCGTATTGTATTGTTTATTACACTTAGTGATTGCTATTTATTAGTTTAGGCCACGTGAAGATTATCGGGGGGAATGAAAGAAAAGTTCACTTGAATCATTATTTCTAGCCTAACAGCTTTCCTAACTTTAACATGTTAATATAACTGTTTTTCGATCACTCATACATTACTCCCTTGCAATGTTAACGTTGAGTGAGTGAGTTGGATAAGTTGATGTATCTAGGATGCTAAAGTGACAAAGATGACTGAAGAATGTGTCCCACATACTGGGCTGTCACCTTCCTCAATGTTGAATATTGATTCGAGTCAGATTTGCTTAGAAAGTTTCAAGGCAGTTACAACAAGAGTTCTATCAACCCATAAGATTGTCAGTCTTTATCTTTTCTGTGTGAAGAAATATAGTTTACTTGGATGGGATGTATGTGACGGCCGAAATCGGTAGTTGTGAACGTGATGTAATGTAACCAACTGCGAATCACGCAAATTGGCATGCATGTGTCTATTCTTCATCTTGCTGCTAGGTATTTGGACGACTTTCAGTTAAAATGTCTACTCTGAATTATGAATCAGGGAGTGGGGAGAGGGATGCAGCTGCAGAATAAGATGAAAACAAGAAGGACGTTTAAAAAGTAGTGTTTATGGGAGACTTTGTTGTTCGAATAGCTACTCATATGCCAAATCATGTAACCGTATTAGTTAAAGTAGGCTCAGTAAAATGTCTTAGTAACTTGGCGAAAAATATTGCTAAGCTGAGAAGTCCTATATATTAAGGAAGCTTTACCCATTAATAATTACTCTGCTAAATTGATCAACAAATTCATTAGGAATTGTAAGCTTAGCGTTTATGACTAATACTGGTGACAGCGGTATTGCTAACAATGACAATAATACATAGAAGCACATCAAAGACATTGCGTAGGTTTCTCAATAAGGCTGGGATTAAAGTGGTATGTAAATTTGAAAACTCACTTAGAAATAAACTTTCTAGGTTGAAAGATCCCATTGGTCCAATTAAGCAGAATAATTGACTTTACCAAGTCCCCTGGAACAATTGCAAGGTCACATATGTAGGTCGAAGTAGCCGACGAGGGTCAATAAGTCTGTCGGCGCACAAAACCCCATCTGATTCAAGTCTGTTAGACCATAGTCAGATAGTGAATCTACAGAAAAGATCATCCATAGCTGTGCATGAAATTGCACAAAGCAGGGGCAGAGTGATAATCTTTAAAACCGAGCTTAGTGGATTGAAAGGGGACCTTGTCAACTGGACATTTGTTTAGCGAATTGACATCAAATACGTACGACAGGAAAATTCTACTATCTTAATCATGAAGGCGAGATAATTAGAACTATATTAATCATGTCTCAAAGTCGTGGAGTAATCTCGAAATGACTGTGAACAGTAAATTATGTCTGAAACTTAGTTCAGTAAGTAAGACTTTTTCACTATGTGATATATTAATCAATCAACCAAAGTGGAATCGCATTCTACTACATTACCCAAACCTTACTCTTTTATTTATGATATCTCGTTGTTTCCCGATCAGTTATTTCTGGAGAAAGTGGGAGATTGCTGCTCCTTATGGAGCACTTGTTTAGACAACAATCACGCGTATGTCTGCACCTAAACGAAAGCGAAAAATTATGGCGAGAAGGCCATTCCGAGTGCAGCACGATAACGAGAATACTAGGGCTGCTTCTAGTGATAAACTGGGTAGTCATTAATCAAAACAGAACGTGACTCATCTAGAAAAAGCCTGGTGCCATCTTTAGTCTGCTATACAAGCAGCGTTACAGACCGTAGTTAGCTCTCAGGAAGTGGTTAGTAAGGGTCAGTTGGTCTCAGTAGCTTCTTTAGAATCAATGAAAGTACGTGAATGCACTGCTGCAGGCTCCGAGCATAATGACGAGTAGAAACAACTGAGATGTAGACTGGAAAAGGTCTACGCAATTACCCTGAATAGTGGTTGGTAGCTAAGGGTGATATGATGGAAAGACAGCGGGGGTAGATAACAGCAGATAGTTATTCAGGGTTGTCAAGAAACTGGTGCGAAAGTTCAATAATTTGGACGACTATCTCTGAGAGGATGGGTATGTGACTCACTTGCTGGAGATACACCAGGAAAACTGGGCAGATCAATTCAGCGAACAGTTCAACTGACCTTCAACCACTATTCCGTTGCTCACTATCCAGTTGAATCCTGAATTCAACACTAAGATAGACCCTCCAACTCTTGCAGAGGTTTAAAAGGTAATAAGTAAGCTGAATTGAGTAAGGGGAAGAGGACCCGACAGACTAGTCCTGGAGGTATTTAGGCACAGTGATCGCGAACGATTGGTTACGTAGACGGAACTGTTGGCTAGTGTATGAGAGTCAGATATGACACCCCTCCGACTGGTTTCAATAATTAACTGTCCTAGTCTTCAAGAAAGATTAGAAGTCCTCTTGTGATAACCACAGAGGAATCAGCCTGACGAATATAGTATCCAAGATTTTTGGTTCTTTAACCAACAGATGCCTACTTGAAGCTCAGAAACAGCAAAGCCAAGAAAATCAGGCAGGTTTCAGACCTGGTCCTGGATGTATCGACCAGAGATTCATTCTATGTCAGGTTCTGAAACACAGGAACATTTACCCATGTACAACACCATCTGTATTTCATGACCTGAAGGTGGGATTTGACTCCATCGACTGACAGGTCTTATGGCAGTATCTCTTACTGTGAGGAGTGCCAGGTGAAAACATCACCCTATCTAAGGCTGTGTATTGAGACAGGGATAGTTGTGCTAGAACACACAACGAGGTACCAAATGAGTTGTATACGTCCAGTAGTAGTATCTTTCAGTGATGTCCACTGTATCCACTCTTTGCCAACTTTGCCACGGATGTGTCATCAAAGTTCTCTATCACCTCGTCCTAACTCGCTCATACTGACTTTTCCCCTGGGAACTCCTTTGTTTACCTGGTGTAAGCAGTTAGCAGTTTTTCCTGGGTGAAAGATACTGACAAGATGCAAAATCTTCTGTACACCATGAGTGGTAATTTGAGAATGCTATGCGCTTCCGATCACCCAAACACGAATTGTCTCTACAGAACTGGTAGACACTGGTACCCTGACTAACGGTAGGAAGTGAAGTGATGAGTACATTGACTACTTCATTTACCTGGGAAGTTGAACCAACTCTACTGCGTTGGTCAGTGACCGACAAATCTCTGCGTGGATTCAAAAGGCTTGATCAGCCTTTATCAACTTCTGTCATTTATGGTGCTGCCGTGGTATTCGATTATCTAAAAAGGGTTCAGTGTTTTGCGCTTCATTTCGCTCTGATCTACTATATGATTTTGAAACACAGAAATTAAAGATAGGGGATATGACCTCTTTTTTCTTTATTTCTTCATCTTTAATCTCTGTATTCTCACCTGGTATACTGATATGTGGTGTAGTAACTTGGACTGCTACGCAATAATGTCAGGTTTTTGGTTGTTATTGTATCTCTGTCTTAGCTATTTGAACATAAGGAAGCTTCAGCTGTTAGAGCGGCGTTATCTTCGTAGCATTGGCCGTATATCGTGGTGTCACCACTTCAGTAACGCAGAAGTTAAGTTTAGCGTTTTAGGAAGAGGAAGGAAGTCGGTCGTTGAAGTTGTGTACTATCATCAACTAAGGTGGCTGGGATGTGTGTTTAGTATGCCTAGTTATGGCCTTCCCTGGCATTCAATGTAAGTTAAAGTAAATTTAGGCTGGAAAATGGTTAGATGCATCCAGGCTGAAACATTGCATCAGTGCATGAAGTCGTTGGCTGTTGGTTCGAGCCATATAGAAAATGTTACCTGTCGGTTAGGGTCCGTGTGGAAACGGAAGCCAGTGGGTGGGATTTTAGGTGACATGGCTCAGAATCAATATCGGTGATCCATGTGTATTCACACATTAGCTTCATGATCCATTGATCCATTCCGTTGGTATTCCGTTGTTGGTATGAGGGTTGGTAACTTGGGCTATTGCACCGTAATGTCAGGTTCGTTTTGATATTCTTTATTTATCTTTCTGTGTATCTGCGTCTCAATGTATGGAATAAAAAAAGATTTCGATGAGACTTTAGCGAACTTTTATTTTTTTATGGACATTCTCAATCGAATGAAGAAAGATAAAAAGTAATTCGACAACTATATGCAAATAATTGTGATAACCTGAGTTAAACTTTATGTGTGTGAGGATGAACGATCGCACCTGGCGATGAGGATGACAACAGGTTGATTCAGATGAGAAGCCATTTTGGTGCTGTTGAAAGTGGAGCAGTTGAGTCACCGAACTGAAATCCCGCAAAAGTTGACCTTGTATTAGAATCTCAAAAGTTGTACACCCGTAGGTAATATAAAATATCATCATCACAGTGTAGTATCACTTACAGATAGCCAGTGAAAAAAAGACTACAGAATATTTTGTACATCCAGTGTTTCCTAGGCTAGGCAGTTATCGGAACAGAAGACTATCACTCACCCAGAAGAAGCTTGGTGCCGTCTCGAGTCTGCTGTAAAAGCAGCGTTGAAGACTATAACCGAATCCGAAAGAGTGGCTGGCTAAAAAGAGCCAGTGGACATCAACAGCTTGTTCCGAACTAATGGATACACGTAAACGCACCCCTGCAGGCTGTGAGTACAATGAGGGGCGAGCTCAACCTAAAGGTAGGTTGAGGAAAAGTTTAGTTGAAGACCGCGAACGGTGGTGGTAAGCGAAGGCTAAAGAGATGGAAAAGGCAGTGGAGATTATTAACAGTAGACAGTTAATTAGACTTATTAAGGAGACTGGGGGGGGGATGGTCAGGGGGGAAGGTCAACTGCGGATAGTGAGACTGTAGCAGAGAAGGACGGGTCTGCGATTCACTCTCAGGGGAGACGAGAGGAACGATGGACAGAAAGAACACTTGGAGGAACAGTTTAACTGGCCTGCAGCCACCATTGCGTTGTCCACTCACTATGCAGTCGGATGCTGAATGGAACATTGAGATAGGTCCCGTAGCTGTTGTAGAAGTTGAGTAAGTAGTAGTAGGTAACTTGTAACGAGGAAAGGCAGCAGAACCAGACGGACTAACTCCTGGTGTATACAATGATGGTGTTAGAGTGCTGTTAGTCAGGTTAAGGGAAGTGTTAACTGGTATGTAGGGATGTAATACGATCCCTTCAGACTGGTGTAGATCACTGATTATTTTAGTTTTCAAGAAAGGTGAGAAGTGCTCTTGTGATCAGCACAGAGTAGTCAGCGTGACGAAGATAGTATCTGGAATTCTAGGTTCTATAATTTTTTGACGCCTGAGTAGAGTTTGGGAACAGCAAGTTAGAGAAGAGCATGGAGGTTGTAGACCCGGCCGCTGGTGTATCGACCAAGTATTCACACTGCGCCGGTTTCGGGAACACAGGCACGCTTACCGACGCGCGACACTAGGTTTGCTCGTCGAGTGGTGTTCGTCAAGGGTGCTTAGTCTTTCGATTCTTATTGAATTTTCTCATGGATATTGTTATGTATGTCTCCGTCTCGTCACCTGACTACACAGAGGTTGAGGTGATCTCAGGAGAATTTTTGTTCGACCTAGAATACGCAGACGACATAGTCGTGTTAGGTGAGGATGCTGAGAATGTGAAGAGTCTTGTTGAGACTTTGAGTGGGAATCTGAGGATGTTTGGGATGCGTTTCTCACCAGCGAAATGTAAATTGTTTTTCCAGGATTGGTCTTCATCGGTGCATTGGCTAGCACTAGGGAAGCGGGATCAGCCCTGGTGACTCGTTGGCCGGTGAAATCTCTGTAGGGAAACAAATGTGTCGGGTGGCTTTTGCCAAGTTACACTACCTATGGCGCCACCGTGATATCTGGTTGTCTATTAAGTGTCAAGTGTACTGAGAAGCAGTGTGGTCTGTTCTACTGTATGGCTGTGAAACATGGCCATTGAAGTTGGAAGACATGAGAAGGCTTGATGTGTTTGACCACCGTTGCCTTCTTAGTGTAGGCCGTATTCCATGGTGTCACCACGTGAGTAATGCAGACGCCAGGTGTAGAGGTTTAGGGAGCAGAGGTAAGTCAGTTGAGGAGTTTATGAACCTTGATTGACTGAGATGTTTGGCTCGAATATGTGTTACGTCTGCCTAGTCGTCGATTGCCTCGTCACACAATGTTGGCTGAAGTAGGTGAAGGCTGGCAAAAGGCCTGAGGTGGGCAGACTGAAACGTGGCACGAATGGATGAAGTGTTTGACTGTTGGTTTGAGCCATGTGGAGGGGTTTGGGGTGGGGTTGGGGGTGGTGGAATGCAGACTAGGTGGTTTGGGTGGGTGGTAGAAGAGGAATCAGTGGTTGGAGTCTGACTCTAGGTGATGACATGGCTGATAAATGATGTGAGTGGCGTAGGTGTTCACATACATTGTGCTTATGTTAACGAGGCGATACTGAATCTCACCATTTTCTCATTCTTCCTTTCTTTCTTCTCGTACTTTATGTTTCTTTTTACTGAGTTTTCTTGTTTTCATGTTGTACTTCACTGCCTTTTTACTTTCATGTACCTATATGAGGTGTGGCTACTTGGTCCTATGTTGATGTTTATGTTTCCTAATTTTAGTTGTTTTTTGGCTACTCTTTTTTAAATGGTTCAGTTAGGGGAAGACAAATCAAGTAGTGGATTATAAAAATTGTACCCGTAACCAAGTATAAGAAAATATATATGTTTGTATATTTCAATTTCGTAGGTATGTCGCAGATCTGTGTATGCTTAATTACAAACAGCCAGATGGTTCAACTTATCCTCTACTGAAACTCTCTGGAGTAGAGTTGTTAGCTTATTTATTGTCGAAAGCGGATTGTTCTATGTGCCATTATTCTGAGAGAATAGTAAGATTTCTATTTAAAGAGGCTGCTCAACCGCTGATCAAGTAAGTATTATATATATATATATATATATATATATATATATATATATATATATATATATATATATATATATAATTTTTGACTATCTGGGCCGTGGTTTTGCAGACTAGTATTGTTACTTGGTGATGATTAAAGGTGAGGTTAAAATTTAGACGGCGGCCAATTCGAACCAGCGACCACCAGGTTTCCGGCCCGATGCTCTATCTACTGAGCTACGAGGTCCGGTTGCTGACCAGATTTTTATTTCACTTCAATTACCAAAGGTTTTACCTGATTACCGTGTAAATTCATGTCGCGTTACTGCCATTTGATCCCATTCGTACTGGCTGCCTAGACAAGACTTCTCATCTGAATCCAAATCTGAATAAATTAGAGAGGGGGAGCATCATATTGATTATCTAAGATAACCGTGGTTTGGCAGACCAGTATTGTTACTGCTGTGGTTACGGCTATCCCAGATGGTCAAAAATGAGAATGAATATAATGTTCTGCCCTCCTAATTCATTTGAATTGGGATTGGAATGAGAATGACTTGTCTAGGCAACCAGTTTGAGTACGATCAAGTGGTAGTGACGCGTCACAGATTCACATGGTAATCGGGCAAAACCTTTGGTGACTGAAGTGAAATAAAAATCTGGTCAGCCATCAGACCTCGTAGCCCAGTTGGTAGAGCATCGGACCGCAAACCCGGTGGTCACTTGTTCTAAATTTACTACAAACAGATGTATGAATAGTAAATTTATTTGAGAAATTGTTTTATGAAGAGATTTTTAACTGACTAGAGTAGTCCATAGCTAACGATCCTAAGTAGAGGGATTGTCACAAGCAGTGATCAATTATCCACTATACTTTTGTTTTTGTCTCTAAATTTTTCATTCACTGATATGTTGTGGCAGCTCCTACTAGTGTCTTTCGCACAAGTTCTACAAGCGTGCAAGTTTCCTATACGTGATAGTGTCAAGTTGCTGCTAAAAGAATGACCATCCTTTTACTTTTTTTCATATACTATTCATCGATTGGATTGACGCATGGATGGTTATCGTTTCCGTTCTGGCTTATTCGTTTGGTCTACAAAATATTTTTCAAATAAAAAAATCATATTCCAGGACCAAAGTGCATTTTGAGGTTAAAATCAGTAGAAAGGTATATTTAGATGGTCTAGTCCTCCTAGGTGTTGAAATGACAGTATTATCTATGCTAAACTGATAGTAAGAAAAGTCCTGGCGTCAAGACGAAGTATGACTGGTGTTTCTCAGCATAGGATACAGCTCAAGTAGATTCAAGATTATGTATTAGGCCGTGAACTGCACTTGTTGTGTTAAAGCTTATGGTACTACCTAGTTACCCAAACCGAAGTGGGACAGAAGTCGAACCCGAAATCTGTTGCCTGATAGTAGAATGTTTGAAGTAACAAGCCTCACTTCCAATTCCCATCAGATATTTGTCTGGATATCAGTGCTGAGACTTTTTTCACAGTACAATTTCCCTTCCAACTCAGTGACTGAAAACATTAGCGTATTATTGAGTCACTGTTTAAAATACTGGGAGTTTATTAGTGTGTGAAATCGCATTAGAAACTATGACAACAGCACACTTACTTAAGTGGTATGCTACTAAACATATCTAGGTTCATATACTAGGTTGTCAACTAAGCTTACTATCTAAGGACGATATTACTTAATTGCTCGAATTTAGATAATCACGGTTACTGGAAGAAATTGATTATCAGTTTGGCGATATGTCTGAATCGATGATAGGTCCTCTAAATTGTAAAATCTCATTTTTCTCAGCGATCATCACTTTGAACTTAAATTTTTCCAATGATCATAATAAAAGGATTTAAAGAGAAGTTCGTGAATGAAAGAGACAAATAATTTATGCAAGCAGTAAACCTTTAGTGACTCAGGTGTTTAGTCATTGTTTTGCGTGTGTCCATCAATCTTATAGGAAGAGTTTTTTAAAATGAGGTAATATCTGTCATATTTCTTCTTCAAGTATGTCTTCAAATTATTGTTGGTATTAACTAGATATTTGGCTCAATCTTCTCATATCGAAGTTGTAGTGTAGTTGTTTGATCAGCTGTTTCAATTATTAGTTTAGACAATCGGATATTCTTGCTAATCTTCAAATTGTATATGCGATTCAAATTTCGGTGCATGAATTTATACAAGTGTGCTTTTGACGTTGTACTTCTGTGATACTTTTGTCTAGTGTTTATCCGTTTGACAAATGAAACCTTTTTACATGCTCTGTAATTCTGTTTGAGTTATTCTATGTTTGCCTTGTAGATTTCTTGAAATGTTTGCCTTAGACGGGATTTATGATGATGTAGGTAATGAGTTCAATCTCATTGTCTCGAATGAACATTTACTCAAACGGGGTTAGTTGAATTTTTTTTAAAACTTTTTTTCCCCATTGAACTCGTTTTATCTAGCCGGTCTGATTATAGTATAAGTGCTAGAGATACTCATATTTTGATTCAAACCTTTAGTTCGAAACTAAGCAATTTGGTGTTAGATTATTGGTTGTTAATCGGTACGAGGTCTTTGGTCCTGGTTTCGTACTTGTCAGTACTCATAAGCAAGGCGTATCTGCGACCATGATATTGATTTTGATATTCCCTCGGTAATTCGAGTCTGTATCACCCAGAGCTGGAGTAAGAGACTTTCAAAACCCCGCTATTCTTAATTGACGGGCTTAGATCAGTGCTGAGCACGACAAAAAACAACGAAAAAAAGGCACTCAGCCACCTTGCGCACATCCGTGCAGTAGGCAATGAGCCACACCTATTGTGTGAAGACTAGTGATACTACATGAATGCCCCAAACCTCTGTAGGTAGAGCGGGGGTTGGAATTCGTAATCCAGGGGTTGATAGTCATCTATCTAAACTACTGTGCTACAGCTCCACCTCTGAGCACTAACAGCTAGGCAGTTACGTCGCTTACTCACTTTTGACTAATTCGTATACCGATTAATTTATCGCTTTCGAAGCGATTGTAAAAGCGTTTGGGAATGATAACTGATGGTATGGCTGTGAACTTTTCTCAGTTCAGAGAACATCTTATGCCTGATATGAATTTTTCACATCTCATAACTGAATATGTGCTCGAATATTAGTTATGCAATATTTTTACGGAATCTATTCAAAACCCAATCTGGTTAATTTCATTTTGTAGCTGTGATAAACATTCTGTATCTCTTACCTATAACCAATTAAGCTACTTTGGTTAGGCTCATTATTTCGGTTTTATTGGAGCTTTTTTCCCATGATCCATAAATGCAGTCAGTAAATTTATGATCATAAATATGGATGGAACTAAGTAACGTCCTATAAATTTACTGCCAACCATTTATATTATGTAATAAGTAACGACACTATTCAATAACCAAGATCAGAGCAGACGAGTATGTGTTCAAGTTTTTGATTGTAAATAGAGCGGTTTAATCACAGAGTCCCAGCCAAAACTGTATAGAGGTGTGGTTCACTGATCTAGGCAGTCGACATCCAATTAGCGAATCATGGGTTTGAACTGTACTCTATCAACTAGGCTGTGGAAAACTGGGTCGTATCATCATCCCTTACAAAGAGGGTTGAGATCAAGTTCATTTTAGTGTTATTGCTTGTAATTACACCGCCGTTGATTGGACAGAGTTTATCAGTCTCTGTTGGCATATGGGCTCCTGTGCGGATGTCTCTATATTGCCTGTATTTCAATTATGTATAGTAATGATGGGCAGTGGCTAGCAGTGGAATCCAGGATGCGCATTTCGTCCTTTTTGGGACTCATCAGCTGGGTGTACCTGCCTCCCAGTGAGTGAAGTCGTTCCCACTGGGATTTGGACTCGGGAGCGATCGTTCCAAACGTGAGAGCCTTATCCAATACACCATCAAGCCACGATAGCCACTTCTTGCGCGACGGGTATAGTTTTAGTGTTATTGCTTGTATTACACCGTCGTTGACTGGACCGAATTGATCAATCTCTGTTGACATATGGGCTCCTGCATGGATGCCTCGATATTTCCTGTGTTTCAGTTATGTATGTAATGATGGGCAGTGGCTGGCAGTGGAAAGTTCATTTTGCTTATAAAATAACGATCTAATGCATTATTTCAGTCGACAAAACTTTTTTTGTCATTTGCATTTCTGCCTATTGAGCTGCACTAAACAGTTTTCATATCAAAAGCAGTTAGTTAAATGACTGTCCGTGTAGGATAAATGACATGGATGGACATCATTCAAGCTAATACGGAACTGGAATCAGTTTTTAAGTCAGTAAGCATTTCCTGTATATATCTGAGACCTGGCATTTTTAAGTTGAAAGTTTTCGATCGCTTTATATTATCGATAACCATACAATTTTTTGTTTTTGAGAAATTTTATTAAAAATGAGTTGTATGGTCTAATCATCTGTGAATGAATTAGCCTTACAAAGTGTCCTTGGCTGCTTGAATAAACCTCACTTATCTCGTCTGATTTACTCGCATAGTAAGCATTTTTTAATACTTACTATGCAACTGGTGAAACGAAATAGAAAAGCAGATAGTTTATGATGTAACGCACTGAATGTAGGATAGATGGACTGGGTAAATTTGCTGATTAATTCGGAGACTTCACAGCCCTGTTACTTGGCATTTCAAATGTGCTTCAGATTCTAATCTTATGACTTTCGCACTTTATTTCTCCGCTTTTTTTTCTACTTGAGGAGTAATACAGTTGGGTTTTTGAAAATGCTATTCAGTAAATTTGTATGACCGTTTCTTTTCTTGGTAGTTTTCATTACCGATGATGGATAGTGGCTCGCAGTGAAACCCAGGACAAGCGTTTCGTCCTATTTGGGATTCGTCAGCTGGATGCACCTGCCTCCCAGCGAGCGATGTTACTCTCACTAAGACTTGAACTCAGGACCGATCGCTCCAAACGCCAAAGCGTTGTCCACTATATCACCGAGTCATTATAGTCACTTCTTGTGCGACGGGTAATGTTGTTGCTTGTAGTATTCCGTCGTTCAGTGGACCGAATTTATCAGTCTCTATTGGCATATGGGCTCCTGCGCGGATGCCTCAATATTGCCTACTTGAATTATATATTAGTGATAGGTAGTTTTCATTACTGTTGTCTTCATTCTCTTTTTAATGTTCGTAGTGTAGTGTCATTTTGTACTGTCTATATCCTATGGTTCATGTTGCACGATGTTAGTGTTTGTGAAGCTTTGTTGAAGACTACTATCAGTCAGATAGGGAAAATAATACAATTCTTCCCTTTCACGAATTTGAATAAAGCAAGAAGAACAATAGTAGCAGAATTTGCATGGATGTATTTTATGGATTTTCTTAAGATGCTGCTTGCTTACTTATAGGGTATAATGTTTATGATAAACAATATGTTATACAACGTACTTTAATAAATCAACAACAGTTTTTCTAGTTGAGATGGAAAATAATTAAAATTTAAGTTGACCGAAATTGATGAAGTTGTTAAGATTACTCAGAAACTAACTATTTGTACAGTGATGGAACGAACATTCTAGAGAAGATAGCAAAAATATCATATATTTTGAGGTTAATGGGGATTTTAATTTTCATGTAGTGTGGATCACGGACTGAAATCAGTAGGAGAACCATTGGAAACGTGGGAGCATTGAACAACTGTTTCGTCCTAGTACCTACTCACGACTCGTGAAACCTATAGATCCCTAACCGGATCGTGGGGGCGTACTGCTAAGGAGTCCCATACCAGGACGAAACAACTGTCCAGGGCTCCTAAGTTTTCAATGGTTCTGCAGCTGATACAACTCAGAAAGTGAGAGTAAGTTTTAAAATAGATCAAGCGATAAAGTAGAAAAACTAAGGGTCATGAGGTCATGAAATCTTGGATTTAAAAATTTAGGAGATTAAAAGTACCAAGGTATCTTTTTGAATGTGTAGGTCAGATTCAAGTAGTTTAGCTTCAGCAAACCGCAGAAGAGTGGGTTTACTGATCATTTTGAATGACTTTAATACGTCGACTTTATGTTCAGGATCAAGCAAATGGTTGGAGATTGCAGTTTAAACCCTATTAACCCTTGAGACTCAAATTCTTCGGGACATGTTTAGAAATGATGACGAAAATCCCTCTCTCTTCTTCCGTTGTATGTACTTTGGGACGTACATATGAATTGGTAGATACAGTTGGAAGTAACACGAGTTGGGAACTTCTCCACTTTGGGCTGTTTCAGTGAGTGTTTAGCGTGGTATATACAGACTAACTTGGTTGCTGGACAGTTCCTTTTTATTGCAGTACTCAGTCTGTGACTCATACTTGTGGCGATTTCACCCCCTTTGAAGGCAAGTTGTAGATAGACCGGGATCTTATCAACTTTGCTACACCCAATTCTTTTTTCTTCTATCCTACCGTGAATGTCAGTGAACGTTTTTGGGTAACCATTTTCGCGTAGGCAAAGGTTAGTTCTAGTGTTATTGCTTGTATGCGCATCCTGGATTCTACTGCTAGCCACTATTCATCTTTACTAAAGGTTATTTCTTCCTCAATTTTTCCTTCAGAGTATGGTTCACGTTTGCAGTTGAAAAGTGTTCTTACTAGACATTTTTGTAATTGAAGACTTCGACTGAGAAAAGTGAAGCTCAGGAAGCAATTGAAGTCAAAGAATATCTACAATTGTAGCTTTAAACTGTTTATCATCATATTACAATTGATGATAGTTATTATGTGGTTTGGGAAGAAATGATTAACCTGAATACCACGGTCGGCGGTTGTACCAAGAAATATTAAAAACGAGGAAGCTGTGAGGTGCCTTCTAGTTTTGGGGTACTATCTTAAAAACTCTAAATGAAAATTTAGAAAGATACATACGGTAAACATTTCCAATCGCTGTTAACTGGTTAGTGTCGTGATTTAGTCTGGTTATCATGGAACTTTTCTCACTCTTACCTTACTTTCACGGTCACCATCCATCTGGGTAGGTGTGATATATGCTACAGTGACTTAAGTTAAAGCAGGTTTACCTGTTAATTGGTTCATTTGCTTTTCTCATGGAGCACTGAAAGGGACACTTGTCGACTGTTTCACGCAGATATAAAAATGGATATGACTATTATTCAAACACGTGACTCTGTAGTCACATTTATGTTCATTCCGTAGGCATTGCATCACATCTACTATGTGAGGTTTTGTGATACCGTTTGGCTGTCTAAACCTCTGGAGGCAGGACGGAGTTCGAACCTGCTACATTTTATTTCGAAAGTCAACTACCTAAAGCAGTGAGCCGCGGCTAAGTTGCCAGGAGCGCTATGCGATTTGCTATTGAACACTGGGGGGGGGGGGATGTATCACAAACCAACCCTAGCGTTCCCTAATCTTTTTTTACCAGCCTAACTAATTTTCACTTTGAAGTTTTGAGGAGTGATGGTATTTCTGGACAAATATGCTTGTTTTCAGGTCGGTATTCATCATGGACTGATATCAGTTAGCGAAACCCTGGAAACCTGGGAGCACTGGATAACTGTTTCGTCCTAGTGTGGGACTCCTCAGCAGTGCGCACTTATGCCCCCGCCAGGAATCGAACCCAAAGCCTTCAAGTTCCGCTACCAGCTCTTTACCATTCAACCATTGGGTCGAAATCGAATGGTCCATATTTTCTACTTATGGCAGTTCACAATTTAGCACGATCTCTATCCAATGCCATCGTTGGCTAACTGTCCTCATGTTTGACTTGGTCAGCCCTACCGGTCGCGACTTCTCACTAGAATTTTGGGAATCATCTCTCGAAGCTAGTCACCAATGTTTCTCCATCTGATGTCAGTCCATAATGGATACCAACATAAAATCAGTAAATCCCCGCAAACCTCAAATTTGAATTATGCTTTTGATCGGACACCTATTCATTACTGATATCGTCTACCTTCAACTGTCATGTCTTGTAGTCATTTAGTAGGATCAAATGCACTACGTCCGTGCATACTTGCCACCTGGTCGACTTCAGTATTCATTATTGCTTGTGTTACAAGTTAGCATACTTGGGTTGTGCTTGTTATGTGTATTGACATTTCTGTGGTAACTAGTCTTCCGAGAACATTTATCGCTTAACTCGGTTACAAAAGTCCTTACAAATTTTGTGTACGCTTGTTAATGTTTTCTCAAAATTGACAATTTCTAGATAGCACATTCTGGAGTAAAAGCTTCCGTTTTTCAACCTACGGTAAAATATTGGACATTGATATTGATGGTGAAAATGTGTTACGCGTCCCCTTGGGTCAATTATTACCGAAGGGATTCGAAGAAGAAATCCTCTGCTGTGCGAAGTCTGTACTTTTATTAAAAGCATTTTGCCCCAAGGTTAGACACTACTCTTCTTCCTTTTATTTCATCAGGGTTTTTTATGATATTTGCATACCGTTGCTCATACATTCGTGCACTAGTAAGTATGGCTGCAGAAAGTTTTACTGCTGTGTTTTTTCGAAACAAATACTGGAATAAATTTGTTGTTGACAACATTATTAGCCGGATATTAACTATACGAAAGATCAATTCTCTTTTGCGAAGTCAGCGTTTTCTAAGTATTAAAAGTACCTTCTCATCCAGGACTACTTTTCGGCCGAATAAATTCATATCTCAGAAAAAAAGAATGTTTAGATAACTTAAGACTGAATAACTTCTCTGATTTAATGATCATATTGTAAGTGTAGAATTTAGGCACTGTAGTAGAATATAATTCCACATTAGATTAGTCTGTTTGATGTAGCGCATACAGCGGTATAGTATTATTTACTAGATAATATCGTGAATTGCAGGAGCGCTTTATCTCAAATTGTAAAGCACATATCGAAGCTTTTGGAAGTTGAATGTTTTTTAATTAAACATTACCTTGTGATATTTGGTACTGATCATATGTGTTGATGTTGTGTCCTGCTAACGTATGGAACACCTATCCGGTGTTTATATCAATTCGATTTGATATACAAGACCAGTTGGTCAGTATTTAGGACATTTTTCTCTCGGTATTATGCCTATTTAGCGTATGGAACCTGTCCTCTTGTTGTAAAGTGGCTGACTATTTCAGTGCACAAATTGTACTCTAATTTTTTTTATTGCCGCAAAGTCACAGTCAAGGTGAAAATTTTTGAGCAGCAATCATTTTTCTCATCTTGAAAAGGACGTTGCACAAACTACAATGAACAGACGAACTACATGTGTCTCCAGGTCATTCTCATTTAACAGAAAAACAGGTGCATACTAGAGAGTTTCGATATTTACGCCGAATAAAAAGATAGTGAATGACATTAAGGTTGACTGATAAATTAGCATATAAAAAGTAAAAGTGTAACCAATAAGAGACTAAAGTCGTTGAGAGTAGCAAAGCAACCGGTGCGCTGGAGGTGGGAAAAGAGAGCTCAAAAGAGAAGTTCGAAATTCTGCCGGACAATTTATATGTCAGCATGCATTCTTGGGGACTTAACATCCGCAACAGTTTTTCTTTGAAGAAGCTCTAGTTTTCCACTTAAAAACATATAGTTTTATGTCGTCGTTGATCTCGGTGTCCAAAGAACTCGCTTTATAAAAGTCGGTTTGGTAAGCATTTACTCGCAAGTAGAAGTTGCTCAGGAGTGCTGGAAATTACTGGCTATGGACACTCCTTAGGTTTTATCGTAGCATATCAGACTACGATTCGGTGTTAAGACCACATCAGGTATTTCCCAGCAAATTATCGATATTGTCCTCTCAAATAATGTCACAAGTCGCAGCATAACTAGGTGACACAAATATTGTTTGAGCTTTTTCAGCCAAATTACACAGACACATTAAACGTGTTCTGCAGCAAAGTAAAAGCAATCAGTTTCTGTCGCGTCATGTGACATTTCAATTTTTTCTCTATTCTCCAAAGCACCTCAAACTTATCTTTGTTGGCTCAGGAATCTTGAATAGTAATTGACAAACCCCAGGAATGGTCGAAAAGACAATACGTTCTTTGGTTTAAACGTGTTTTATAACGTGGATATTTTCTGCATCTTTACAATGATTGGAGATAATGAAGTTAAATACGAAGTAGTTTATAGATCAGATGGAAAGTACACTCAGGATATTACCTTGCCATTTTTAAGTCCCCTCTCATGGTTGTTGTATTTGTGAAATAGCTGAGACCTCATTGTCTTTTTCCATTACTATTCCATCCTGTTTACGTTTCATGAAATTAAAAGAAGTATTCCTTGTTCACTGCACGCATACCACGAAATGATTATGTTGTGAAAATAGTTGTTTCTCTTCAATTGTTAGATGTCGGGAGTCAATCGGCACTAAACCGTGGACTTGGGTTTCGTGCCTGTGGCACTTATCATCAAGACGTGTCTGCAACCGTGAAGAAACTGGTGTTCTACGGGTGATTGAAACCTGTGTTACTTGATGCTGAAGCCAGTGACTAAACCATTAAGCCATTCAGTAATATCGATCACTAACTAGAAGGGATACTCCATTTGAGTATGGAGTTTTTCTAAAACTTGCTATAACTAACAATTTTTATTGCTTATTTAGTGTATTACTCCTGGTACATCTGGAGTACAACAGAATCATCGAGATGTTCTTCACTGCGAACGTATTTGAAAGAGACATGAATATATAAATAGGTAGGAAAGATACGGTTGAACAATAGTGGTTGAAAGGTGGGGCAGATAGGTAAAATTACTCATTGAAGGAAACTTTCTAAATTTAGATTTTCTTTTTTCATAAAAGGTAATAAAGTAGAACTACAGTAAATCCCAATTCTGAATCATATTACATATTGTACTAGTGGATTACCTCCACCCTTTTAACTTCTCTCAGGGTGTTGTGATAGATTAAAGAATAGGACTTATACACAACTACTTAAATAACTTAATGCCAAGGACTTTATTCAAAAATTGGTTGATGTTGGTTTGAATCTCTAGGTGAATGCGAGTTCCCCTAAGTTTGAAAACAATATCTGCTGATGAGCACCAGTAGGCATGAAACTTGAATTCTGGGCTTCCTGCTGGTTGACTTATAACATATATTACACAACTGGTTCCTATTCCATATTGGTAATTCTTAGAACAGTTTAGTCTTTCTTCCAGTCTATTTTAGCCTTAGTTGGTGTTTTATTGTGCAGTGAGGTTGACACCATCTTCATAAGAAGCCGTGTCTTCCTGAAGTCTTTCACAACCAATCGTGTTGTACCGAAGTTTCCAGTAAAGCGTGTTAATTTGACATTGGTTGAAGAGACAAAAATCAATGGAATTTTCAAACCGAGAAAGGCCTGGTAATAGCCAGGTCTACTGTAAATCTATATAAATCCTTGTATTTTGTATATATTTTCGACGCTGCGACACTGTCTGTTATATTGCCGCTTTTTCCATCTATCGAGAAACTGAGCGACCATCAAGTGGTGGAATCTAAAGGTTATTGTTTATATATATATATATATAATTCAGGTTATATCGGGTGGTCACTACGGAGATATAGAAACATTTGTGAGCTGTTGGGTCCGATTTTCTTAAGTTAGTACCACTTACGGAATAAACGTTTTCATTTTTCATGAAGATATCATTATTTTGACGACGAATGCTGCGTGGACTCCAGTGGCTGACGTGCATCAATGCTGAAAATCGTAAGCTTGACGTCTAGTGTACACTATTTATGCTAAACAGATGCTGTATGGTGATTGATAACCCAAGTCTATTGTTAGAAATGATTCATTGTTGCATGGTGTTTCCCGTCATTCCTTCGAAATGTTTTGGCGTAGTGTAAACATCTTTTTAAAATATTATTATTACTTTTTTCTATTGTAGCATTTTATATTTCAAACTCGATCGAGATTCCCAACACTCTGCCTCTTAGAGACTATCGAAGAGATGTCTAGCTATCACGATGCATTCCAAGAATATCAGAAATTATTAAATGATACAACTATTAAACATGTAGCTACAAGGTTAGTTATATAGATTTTTCTTAGTCGATTTTAGGGAATTTGTGATGCAAGATAATGCTATCATCAGTTTGACGTTCTCTAAGCTTAGTACATTTTTCATTTCACAACTGAAAAGTATCTCAAGAGTAAATTTTACACAGGCTTATTGTTTTCAGTATTTTTCTCGTCTAAAGGGGTTTTATTAAAGAATTCAGGTAACAGAATTTCAGTTGTCGAAGTATTTCACACTAAGTCCAGACATACCTCCAGCAAATTGTTGGCGTTAAGTAGTTTAATAACACGTTTGTTATTATCTTCAAGGCAGCTTTCAAGCATCAGAAAGCTTTTAAAGGGTTACATCTCAATGTTCTACTTGGAATATTTGCCATAGGGGACCTTAACCCCAGGTCTACTAAGCTGTGCAACTCACCGGGTGATTTTGTTACTGTAGTTTCTGAAGCTGAACTGTGAGGGAAATGCTCACTGATGCAGATGGTGTTTAGATATACTCCTAATACTCATCTGGCCTAGCATCAAAAAATGATTGGAAGCTTGCAATAGATTTTGACTGAAAGGAAAAAGACAAAGCCTATCTTATTCAATACCTACCACCTTCATTAGTATCATGGCAATAATCAAAAAGGCATGTTTGGTGCCAGCAATGTCATCATCATGATTATCAACATAGGACCAGGCATTACTGCGTAACGGTCCGAGTTGCCGCACCCCATATCAGCACATCAAGTAAAAAGGTAGTGAGGCGAAGGACGAAGATAAGTGAATGCAGTCAAAAGAAATATAAAGTACGAGAAGAGAGGAAAGAGGAGTGATAAAATGGTGACATTCGGTATAGCGTTGTTAAGATGAGGATAATGTGTGTATACATCTGCGCCACTGACATCGGTTCTGAGCCATATCACCTAGGGTCTCCAACCACTGGTTCCTCTTGTCCCGTGGACCCCAACCACCTAGTCTGCATCGTCCTACATGGCTTAAACCAACAGTCAGAGACTTCATACATTGGTGCCATGTTTTAGTCTGGCCACCTCAGGCCTTTTTCCAGCCTGGACCCACCTCAGAAGTGTATAACTAAACCATGGATCTGTTTTCAATTCACTGTCTGAAATTAATAGAAATATCACTTTTCAGGGCTTCTATCCATTCTTCACTGAAGCCTCTATTATCTATACCTGCTCCTAATAATGTTTTCCTTTTTTTTTGTTCAAGAGAACAAAAGGTTGCTCAAATGATTGCTGAACGACAGGAATTCATCAAGTATGTAAATCAGATTCAATCAGCGAGATTGGCTGCTATTGAAGGTGAGTGAATCAGAGTACCATGAAGTTTTTTAGGTTGGTCTTTACTTTTATTGTCGTATATTTTACTAGTTTTTTTTGTGAATATTGGTTGTTTAGCCTTTTGTAGCTATCTAGTGGCTATTTGTTACTTGATACACAACTTTGAAAGTTGTTTTTCACATTCAAACTGACGTGTATGCAGGTATGTAAAAGGTAGTGCGCTTTGGTGATGATGGCTGATTTTTAAAAGATGTTACCGAATTTTCTTCCTTCATAGTCGTAATTGCTACGGTACTTCTCCATATTGCCATATATGTGATTATGTATCATTTTTTCCCACTGGCCATCATTATTCAGATAGTGAAGGATAATCTCCAAACTACTATTACATTTCAATTATGTATGATTAGTTTGCAGACATTTCGTTTTCTTTTTTTGAATCAATTTGAACCACTTTCATGTTGTCTAGCCCTGAGTTCTGACCAAATTCTATCGATCATTTTGCAGTATGGTCATCAAGCTAGGATAGAAGGCTCAGTATCGCGGTACACTTGGATAGATGTTGGTTGAATAGAGGCAGTCGGGAGGAAGTCCTGGAATCTTAAAGGGGATATCACTTCCTTCAAGGTTGCAGATATGACTTGCTGACGAGTGCCAACAAGCATAAAACCTAAGTTCAGGGCTTCCTGTTGGTTGCCTCCAACCAACTAACATTGATCCGAATTAAGTTGTTGTTTGGCACTAAATGTAGTACAGTGCCAATTTTCATCCTAGCCTTTAAGCATTATTCACTTCTTGTTAGACTTTAAGTGTAATTGATATTTACATTTCAGAATTCTAGTTTATTAAAAAGGTAAAGATTATCCTGCATAAGATACTTTTACTGCGTTATAGATGTACTTACTCTATGTTTGTTCTGGAGTAAGAATATTTTGTTGATCCTGTGAAAATTGCATCATTTTGTGCTACTGTATACATAACTGGTTTGTTGGAAGGCGATTGGGAGTTCATTGTTCATCTCTACAAGGTTGCTGAGTACATTCCGGCTTTATATTTCTAGTCGATTTAACCTGTGGATTATCGTTAGATATGTTTCTTATCTTTTTCTCAATTTCCATGCTCTTTCTAGTCCTCATTTCATTTTTTGTATAATAACTTTCTCAAGTCTCACGTTCAAGTAATCTAGTCAATTCACTATCAAAAACCTCAGTCTGAACTACTTCATAGTCGTTGTTATTATTTGTATACCATGCTTAGAAAGTTGTTGGTTTAGAATTACAATCATCTCACAAATAATAAGTGGATGTACCTCTAATTTATCTGTTTTGTTAAACGCTTAGTTGGTAAGTAGTAAATGAAATCAAATGTTATTTGGATGGAGGCAATCGACAGAAAGCCCTGGACTCAGGTTTCGTGCTCGTTGGCACTCGTCAGCAAGGCGTATCTGCAACCCCGACGGGACTGATGTCCCGCCTGGGATTCGACCCCACGTCACCCAGTATTGTAGTAAGGGACATTACCACTGAGCTATTCGGGCTGTGGATAACCTATTGTAGGACTGGATTAAATACAATGATTGTTCATTGGAGGGTAACCAGCTTCATGTTGTCTAATCATAAGTTTGATAAATCGGTCTGTTCTAGATAACGTTTTTTTTAAAAGTAGAACTGACGAGTGCGTACTGAAATGACTACCTTCGTTACTTACATGAAGTCATTTTCTTTCATCGCTATAAATCTCGGTTAACTGACACAGGATTGATGGTGTTCTGGTGGAATACACTTATAAGTTTGCCTATTTTCATGTTAGGTGTTTATTTATTTAGTTAACATGTATACCTGTTATTCTGTTTTAATTATTTAGCGAAGCGAGTCGAACAATTGAAAGCTCGTCTGGCCAAACAAAATGCTGAACTATCTGAATTGAAGTTAGCCGCTGAAACTGCAGCAAAACAACGTCGGGAAGCAATTGAAGCTGAAAAGAAGGCTGATCAATTGTTATTGGAATCGATTTCTGTATCCAATAAGTATAAGGAGGTAGTGATAAATGAAGCCAAGTAGGTTAACTAAATAGGATGAGATTTGAAAAGATTCGAAACGCAATATCTTATAACTTGTTAATTCATTATTTTGCCGTTTCAGATTTAGTTCTACATCGAAATGCATACTGATCAAAATACTCAATAATCTTCTGAACTGATTTGCATATAGTCTCTGTCCAAAACGGTTGTATTAAATTCCAAATTTATTTTAAATACTCGTGAAAATCTCATGCAACTCAGTAACCTTTAACGATGTACAATACTACTGAGACCGCTCCCATGTAGTGCTAGTCATTACTACCCAATTAAGGTGTATTGACTAAAATGCTTGTTTTTGAAGTTCTACATCGCCATAAAAGCTAAATTGACGGGTGCAGAAATCGAAAGCAGTTAGTGTTTTTTCCCAATAAGGTGAGATTGTACCACTGACCGTATGAGTTCAGAGTACCAGTTAGGTGTTTCTTGAAAATAATCAGCATTTCTGTCAATGGTGACCATTTTGACGTTGTTGGAGAAGAGGTTACAAACTCCTCGACATTTAATTACAGCACACTTCGTCCTACGGATTTTTTGTGTTGTGAGATTCTCGAGGTATGCAGTCAACTAGTCATGTGTGATGAACCTTAAACAGATGCTTCTTCAGTGTTACAGTAATAGCCTAGATTGGCGAAACCACTAATACTTGATTAGTTTGTTGAGTACCTTCGTGAGAAGTATCCATTCACTCTATGAGTACTGTTTGTTATTTGTCCATGCAGCTCCAGCAGCACTTGAACCTCTCTTGACCATCACTGGAGGTCGAATAAATGAGACAGGAATGGGAGGTATGAATCTGTGATTAATTGTTGAAATTTTAGACAATATAACAGTTTACTGGAAACTGATTTTATGAGTATTAAGGAGTATATCAAAATTGCTTTCAAATCTTACTGCTTCAATGGAACCGAATTATTAAACTTGTTAGGATATTAGAAATTTTTCGATAATTAGTTAAATTTAGAAGGTAAACCAACAATATGTTGTTAGTGATGTAAATAAAAGGTGTTTCTGTTCATTCTAGTTTCGAAGTAGTCTTTTTTGGTGAATTGAAGTTATAACCTCACAACTAATTTGAGTCTAAAAAGAATTAGACTAATCTGATTCTTTTAATGTGTAATTCAAACTCGTAAATGGGCGAAAACAAGCGGTTGTAATGCTGTGTTGAATATCGTTTCAAATGAAATAACTTTTTTTGTGTGTGGTATTCTATCTATTTCCTCATCTGTCCGACACTGACAACTAAAGATTCAAAGCAGTATATTGTCTTTTATCAACACTAAATCTTTCAAAAAATTCACCTAAGTGAAAGGATATTAGAATCGATATGTAGAAGCATTTGGTTGAAGTAAAGAACCAGTAATTATAGAGATTAAGGTGTTCAGTGTTTATCTATATTATCTTTTTTGACTTTTTTCTCTTACAGGGCTGAATTAGAATCATTTTATGCTAATTTAATTGAAGAAGTTGATAGACGCCGAAATAAACTGGAGCAGCACATTGAAAATGATCAGATTATTATCGAAACACTGGAACCGAGTGCCGCAAAAGCACTAGAGTTCAAGGCTAGTCATATCGCAACTACGGGATATGAAATAAGTGAACATTCGACTGACAAGAGCTCAGTTATAGAAATGTATTCAAATCAATCTGACCAATCTAACCAGACAGCTATTACTTTTTCCACAGAAGATCAACAAGTAACTGCTGACTGTTCAGCATCTGAATTGTATACTATGCAAAGTCAAGAGCATATACCACTGTTTATACCGAGTAATTTGTCAACTAGTGATCCTCTAACTATTCTGCGCACTAAATTTCATCAACGTAACAAGGGTGCATATAGATTCAAAGATCAGATGTCAGAGTTAATTCATGGCTCTGGGGACACATGTTTGAATCCAGTAAGTTTCACTTTTCACCATCCAACTCCTTTCTTTCGATTGACATTAATGTGAATATACCGCTATATAGTGTTCTTAAAAGCTATTTATCACCTTGTTTATCTTATATCTCTGCTATATTCTGGATTTGATGGGCTGAAGGAGACACTCGAGTTAGTGTTTTAGTTGGTCCTATTGCCTACTGTCCTGCGGACCCCAACCGGCTAGTCTTCATCGCCCTACATGGCTCAGACGAACAGTCAAGGACTTCATGCCCTCTAACGTCACACTAGCTGACTCATTGAGAAGACGAATTTAGATGACCAGCCCACACAGTGCACTATTTGTATTTAGCAAAATATATGGAAGTGTAGAAGGTCGTGAAGTGTAGGTAGTCCAATGAAAATGTGAAGGAATAGGCGTATGAAGGATATTCAAAAATAATTGGTTGTGGCTTTCATTATTTCTGCCTAGATATCCAGTAGTTTAATCTTTGATATTTTCTTCATCTGCCACCGTCTAGCTGTTGTCTTGACGGTTGCTTCCAAATCAATAAATAGGCTTTATGTATTGTAAACATTTAAAGGTTCCCATAAGATTGATTAAAAATAATCTGGACGAAGAATATTCATTACCGTAAATTCCCATCAGGTTTTACAGTTATTGAATGGAATTTCGCAGCGTAAAAGCAGTCCATATCTGCGGCAAACACGTCTTCAAAATGGAATGTAAGTTAGGGACTATAGGAAAGCCACATTTTCTTTTTAAATTTGTCACAGTGAAAGGAAATTACCAGGAACAAGGTGACTTATATACAGATGAAGAATGTAATGGTAAAAGAAACAAAAAAAAAGCAAAATACAACAAATAAGAAAGATGGAATCGCATTTGCGAACAATTATTAGGAAGACATTTAGACAATGACTTTCTTATTAAGGGATCATTGCTAAAATGTAGAATAAATGTTCAGTTCATCTTCAATAGTAATTTGTATAGGCAAGTTGAAGAAGTGGCTGTGGCATCTCCATCCTGTCCTATATTTGGAGACGTATTCCTGGTAGAATAGGAAAGCTGCCATTTAAAAGATCAGGTTGTTGATACGGAGTTGTATTGCTATGTATGTATGATACTTTCTCGTCTTCAATAAGTGTCTATGCAGTGATTTTATTCCTGACCACTTCAACAGTGTCCATCCATCAGTTCATTTTACTTATGAAAGCGACGTTAGTAATTCCGTACATTTTCTTGGCATGCTGCTGAGCGGAAAAAGGCTCCGTAAAGAGAAATATATATAGGAAACCCATGAATAAGGCACAATATACAGACTTTTCCAGCTTCGTAAAAATGAAGTACAAACGCAATATAATCAGATAGCATTTGCAGGTAGATCGACTTTTTTTCGAGTTGTTTGAGGAGAAAAAACCCTATCTGTGATATTCTAAGCGAAAACGAACACCCTGTAAATTTCATCAAAATAAACATCGCCTACAGTAGTCCCAATCAAGGATTGCTGACAATGAAGAAATTATCTTTTTGCGTCTAGAATTCAGAGAACACACTGCAAGCGACGATATCCTATCATAACGCCTAGCTAGAGCAGTAAATAAAGTGCTTTTCTCATATCATTCTTGCATATCTTTCAGTAGTCGACCAATGTTCAGTCGTGAGCTAAAAGATACCCTTCTCCTCTTACATACATCTGTTTAACTGTTCCTGTGGAATAGTTTACATAAGGTGTACGATGAGACGGGCGCGTCTCTGGTTAGGAGAACACTTACCTGCTTGGTTTCATGAAATGAAGTGAAAGCGGTAAAAGGTTTCATCTTAGCCCAGTTAGTACAAACAGGGCATCATGTAGATGCTAATGGAGCTTTTAATGTCATACACCATGTTTCGAAAGCAATATCACTTGTCGCTCGCCAACGCCTACTCAAAGTAGCTGAGGCTACAGCAATGAGATTAATCCAACCTGAACTTTACATTCAGGAGAAATATGGTCAAGCGTTTGTTTGTTGTCTTTTTCCTTTTTTGTTTCTTTTACCATCACGTTCTTCATCTGCATATGTCATTTTATTCTCGATAATTTCCTTCCTTTGTGACAAATTTAAAAAGAAAATGTGATTTCCTTATAGTCCCTAACTTACATTCCATTTTGAAGACGTATTTGTCTCAGACATGGACTGGTTTTACGCTGCATAATTCCATTTTATAATTGTAGAACCTAATGAGAATTTATTGAAAATAATGTTCTCCGCATATTTAACAAAATACATTGTTAAAAGTGATCTACAGTCTTTTAATTTATAAATGAGATGAATGTTATTGGTTGATAACGAGGAATCTTTATGGTGTTACTGGGTTAATTTTAGTCAAGGACCTTAGCATTCGTTTCAGTCCCATTTTTCACTGAGTGACGTTAATTTTTTCCTACTGCCTGGCAGACTCTTTATAATTGCATTTTCATAAATATTGTAGCATCGATGACTGTAAGCCCAACCGACAAGCGCTTCCTTGACGTGATGGTCAAACTGGTCAACAGGCCTCGTTGGCCAAGACTCTAACAACTCGGGCCATGGATATGTGCTGTGTTTGTGAGACTCGCATACAGGACCCGAGTGTGGTTATTCACCTGACCTCTCCTTGCCAATCTGGTGAATCCGCGAAATTCACCCTTCGAGTTTCTAGAGATTTGATAGCTAGCTCTCGCGGTCTTGCAGGTGTAGGCATAACATTAAGCACTAGAGCAGAAAACTCACTACTAGGCTGGATCCCAGTAGATAGTCGCCTCTGCGCTATCCGACTGAATGGCACAGTGAGAACTAAAAGGAATGTGAAACTCACCCTTGTCTCTTTGTAATCTCTGTTGCTTACGCGCTGACTGTAGTTTGGGTGAAGTGAAGGACAAGTTCTACCGAGAACTGTCTAGCCTCCTCTCGAAAGCCGAACGTTCGGACGTGGTGGTTGTTGTAGGTGATTTCAATGCACAGATGGGTAGACTGAGTGAGGTACAAAGGCAGTTAGGTGGCACTTTCGGAATCCCGGCTGAACGTACAGATAATGGTGATCGCCTACTACAACTGTGCTCAGATAACCGCTTGTTTTTAGATAGCACAAATTTCAGACATAAAGAAAGACACTGTCTAACGTGCAGTCCACCGAGCTCAACTCAGTGATGGGCACAGATAGACCATATCGCTATTAATCATCTCTGGAGAAGATCAGTCAAAGACTCCCGCTCCCTCTGAAGTACGTGTTTGGATAGCGACCAGGCGTTGGTCCGATCACGTTTCTGCCTGGGTCTCAATGGACGTAAGAAAAATTTGCAACAAAACCACTACGAGTGCTGCTGGACAACGAAAATACCAAAGCCGTGTTCAGTGAGAAGTTGGCTAGACAGTTATCGGGACAAAATACTATCACTCATCCAGAAGAAGCTTGGTGCCATCTAGAGTCTGCTGTAAAAGCAGCGTTGAAGACTGTAACCGAATCCGAAAGAGTGGCTGGCTAAAAAGAGCCAGTGGATATCAACAGGTTGTTCCGAACTAGTGGATACACGTAAACACATCTCTGCAGGCTGTGAGTACAATGAGGAGCGAGCTCAACTTAAAGGTAGGTTGATGAAAAGTTTAGTTGAAGACCGCGAACAGTGGTGGGCAGCGAAGGCTAAAGAGATGGAAAAGGCAGTGGAGATTATTAACAGTAGACAGTTAATTAGACTTATTAAGGAGACTTGGGGGGGGGGATGGTCAGGGGGGAAGGTCAACTGCGGATAGTGAGACTGTAGCAGAGAAGGACGGGTCTGCGATTCACTCTCAGGGGAGACGAGAGGAACGATGGACAGAAAGAACACTTGGAGGAACAGTTTAACTGGCCTGCAGCCACCATTGCGTTGTCCACTCACTATGCAGTCGGATGCTGAATGGAACATTGAGATAGGTCCCGTAGCTGTTGTAGAAGTTGAGTAAGTAGTAGTAGGTAACTTGTAACGAGGAAAGGCAGCAGAACCAGACGGACTAACTCCTGGTGTATACAATGATGGTGTTAGAGTGCTGTTAGTCAGGTTAAGGGAAGTGTTAACTGGTATGTAGGGATGTAATACGATCCCTTCAGACTGGTGTAGATCACTGATTATTTTAGTTTTCAAGAAAGGTGAGAAGTGCTCTTGTGATCAGCACAGAGTAGTCAGCGTGACGAAGATAGTATCTGGAATTCTAGGTTCTATAATTTTTTGACGCCTGAGTAGAGTTTGGGAACAGCAAGTTAGAGAAGAGCATGCAGGTTGTAGACCCGGCCGCTGGTGTATCGACCAAGTGTTCACACTGTGCCGGTTTCTGGAACACAGGCACGCTTACCGACGCGCGACACTAGGTTTGCTCGTCGAGTGGTGTTCGTCAAGGGTGCTTAGTCTTTCGATTCTTATTGAATTTTCTCATGGATATTGTTATGTATGTCTCCGTCTCGTCACCTGACTGCACAGAGGTTGAGGTGATCTCAGGAGAATTTTTGTTCGACCTAGAATACGCAGACGACATAGTCGTGTTAGGTGAGGATGCTGAGAATGTGCAGAGTCTTGTTGAGACTTTGAGTGGGAATTTGAGGATGTTTGGGATGCGTTTCTCACCAGCGAAATGTAAATTGTTTTTCCAGGATTGGTCTTCGACGGTGCATTGGCTAGTAGTAGGGAAGCGGGATCAGCCCTGGTGACTCGTTGGCCGGTGAAATCTCTGTAGGGAAACAAAAGTGTCGGGTGGCTCTTGCCAAGTTACACTACCTATGGCGCCACCGTGATACCCGATTGTCTATTAAGTGTCAAGTGTACTGAGAAGCGGTGTGGTCTGTTCTACTGTATGGCTGTGAAACATGGCCATTGAAGTTGGAAGACATGAGAAGGCTTGATGTGTTTGACCACCGTTGCCTTCTTAGTGTAGGCTGTATTCCATGGTGTCACCACGTGAGTAATGCAGACGCCAGGTGTAGAGGTTTAGGGAGCAGAGGTAAGTCAGTTGAGGAGTTTATGAACCTTGATTGACTGAGATGTTTGGCTCGAATATGTGTTACGTCTGCCTAGTCGTTGATTGCCTCGTCACACAATGTTGGCTGAAGTAGGTGCAGGCTGGAAAAAGGCCTGAGGTGGGCAGACTGAAACGTGGCACGAATGGATGAAGTGTTTGACTGTTGGTTTGAGCCATGTGGAGGGGTTTGGGGTGGGGGTGGGGTTGGTGGAATGCAGACTAGGTGGTTTGGGTGGGTGGGAGGAGAGGAGAGGAATCAGTGGTTGGAGTCTGACTCTAGGTGATGACATGGTTGATGACTGATGTGAGTGGCGTAGGTGTTCACATACATTGTGCTCATGTTAACGAGGCAATACTGAATCTCACCATTTTCTCATTCTTCCTTTCTTTCTTCTCGTACTTTATGTTTCTTTTTACTGAGTTTTCTTGTTTTCATGTTGTACTTCACTGCCTTTTTACTTTCATATACTTATATGATTTGTGGTAACTTTGACCATTAGGAACTAATATCTGGTACTATGTCGATGGATGATGAAGACTTTAAGACTACTTTTTTTGTACTGTATTTTTCTCTCATCGAGACCTCCTTGTCAATTTTCAAGTTGCTGCTTTCATATAAGCATTTTCGTTTACTGAATCCGTCGCCTATTCATGAAATAATCTTACTTGGTTGATTGCCTGGGTGGATGATAGAATAATGGTCGATTGGAAGGTCGATTGCAGTTACGATAAAGCGTGGGTTGGTAGAGTGGTTAGTGTTGACGACAACAAAATTATCAACTAATCGATCACACTTGGTTTATGATGATCCACCATAAAAACCTGGAATTAGGTATGTTGAGTTATTATGTCCTACAGCAATGTGAAGCAATGGCTGATTGTTGAGGACACTCGACTTCCAACCGATCAGTCGCAGATTTGAACCCCTCTCTACCTAACGACCTATAGGCAGCCATATAGTATTATCAGGTTGATGAAATAGGTATGACGTACTGCCTATTGCATGAATATGCATGTGGTTAGGGGATGGATTTCGAGTGTATATTCTTCATCTCCTGCTGAAATCCTAATTCACTTAACATACCTATTGGTTGTCTTTTTCACATGCATGACTTTTAATGTGTTTTGAAGGCTCATCAGTTCTGTCTTATTCAGTTTCCTAATTCATGTTTCATATATGAATCGATGTTATACTCGAATACAAAATTGGAAAAGAACTGATATCTTTTCTGAAATCGAAGATTTATTGTTACAAGTCATTTCCCTTTAATAATTGAATATTTTGTGAAGCTTTGAGGATTTCACTCTTGGATTATTGACTACAAACCTATCCCGTTCACATCAATTCTGTTAGTGGAATAATAATGCACAGAGCATTCAGAAAATTGGTGTAACTGAAAACCAAGTGCAGAAACGTAAACATTAATATGTCTGTATGTGCGTTTGTAAGACGACATAACAACAGTATATTTTTGTTGCTTTTAACTTACGATATGTAATTTTCTCTTGATTTTATCTTTTCAGGAATTTATTAATCCCCAAGATGTTAATGACAACACGAAAGTTGAGGGGAACAAATCGAATTTTATGAAGTCTGTGGAACTTTTCCGGCAACGTAATATATTTGGTCATTCTTCTGATTCGACAGTCCAACACATACTCTATGGGAAGGGTCTCGGACCATCCTCTAGGCCATCAGGTTAGATCACCTAATCTAATCTTCAACCTGTGTATTTAAAAAGGATTGAATCAATTTCAGTGTGATGTAAATAAGCGTTTGTGTTCATATGCAAACTCTTTTTAAGAACATATTTAGGGCTGTCTCTCCCTGCAAAATACCACCATATTAGTAAAAGTTGATTTGGTTGGAGTAAAAATTACCAAGATCACCTTTGGAAAAGCAAATATACATATTCCCAGTTTTAAAAATATGAAGGTATGAGAATTTTTCAGCTAAATTCTGAGATTAGGAGAACACTAGACACCCAAAGTCATCGTTTACCTCATTTGAGATGGATGTATACACAGCACTTGTACTAATTTTGGCCTCTGTCGTTATTTTGAATATCTCAGTTTTCATGTTCATTTTTTTAGTACAGGTAGTTCAGGAAAATTTCTGGGGATTTCCTGTTGATTGCTTGTAACGGTCTTCCTTCAAGCTTAGTGTGACACGATATTAAGTCGCGTAGTTGGGTTATTAGAATTGTTTGAGCATTCATGTTAGGTGAGTATGTGGTTGGTTACTTCCCGACCACTGGTCAATAAATGTGAAGTTTCTCATACACTTTAAACCTACAGTCAGAAGCTGCATGAGTTATTGTCCCTTGTTGGTTTTACCACCCTAGGTTTCTTTTATTCTACCGTTACTCCAGGTAATACTGCACGTTCAATTTGTGGCTAAGCATGTATTAATCATGTCGAATAGTGATTAGAGTTACCAACCACATCAACTGATTTACCTCTCTTGTCTAGCTTTCTGCATCTCACCACAACATTGTTTGCTATGTGATTGAGCCATACAGGAATCATACTTTGAAGTCATTTGTGGGCAAATACATTCGTTTTTTGTATACATTCCGCTTTGAATATGCTTATTTAACCATTCGTTGTCGGCTAAAAAAGCTGGCATGTTAGCTATTGATCGACAGAGTCAAATGCAACCCTCAAACCAAGGGATATTAGTAGTTGAAGAACTTGTAAAGTGTCCTGAGTTCTTGAATCAGATAGTGGACGAATGTATTTCAAAGGTGTTTGCTTCTCTTTTTAGTCGTTGAATGTTTATAGAAGCTGTCAGAAATCCATCTGTAGTTATTACATGACATAATTTCGTATAGATTTGTTTGATCAACAGTGAAGACTGGTCAGCAAAAGCTGTGGTGGCTAACAAAATTTTCTGTTTCATTATAAGTTTTCATACTGTATCTTTTAGCTGGCCAAATAAAATTTAGCGCTAATGGTATAGGTGTCTGGATTTACTACTGAAGAATACTACTAAAAAACCAAGGGAATGTTTGTATTCTAAGTTATGACCGATATCTAATCGTATTCAGTTACCCCAATCTGGGATTGAAACTCGTGACTGACTGATTAGAAGTTGGTTATTGCCTAATACTAACTACTTTGGTATTCTGAGAATTTAGACTTATCATTCTTATGTAAAATGCATAATTTGTTTGCTGCACAGTAATGCTTTGTTTTCTTTTTTCTACTATGCCTTAAAGTTTGGGAGGCAGAGCGTATAAAAGAAGATGCAATCCACTCCGGCGCTGAGCCAGATGCTGTAACCTTTTATAAAGAAGTCCTGGAAACTAGTGAAAATGCTTCTACAGTAAAGCCATACACCAAGGAATTTCCATCACTTGGTATGTTTATTTTTATTATTTATTTACTTATTTATTATCATCGTTTTGTAATTTCTTTCGAACCAATTAATGGTGTATTTAGTGAATTTATACTCCTTTAGCCTCATCTCAAATTCTTATTTCGTTTTTCGTTTAAGGAATGTTGAGTGTATGCGTTTTTCCACGGTTTGCAGCCTCAACCTAAACGCACCCCTTCTCAAGTTGGATATCGCATTTTTTCAAACTGTTCTTATGTTAATCGCTCATTGAGTTGTACATGTAGCTCCTTGGCCTAAAAACTTGACTTTCGAATTCTGTGTCTCGAGTTGTGGTGTTTTCTGCCTACCGATCTTGTATACTGGATAAACTATGGAAGTGATACCGATTTGAAATTTTTATAAGCTGATATTCCATACTTACTGATGGGGCTTTTAATCTCAGTTCCTGAAAACTAGTCCGCAAGAAGGGAGAGGGAAGTCTTCTTGTGATAACCATCGGTAATCTGTTTAACCAATATCTTGTCCAAGATCCTTGGGTTCATAACTATCCGAAGCTTAACTGAAGCTCAAGGACAACATACTCCGAAAAACAGAGAGGTTTCAGGCCTTGACGAGGGTGGATCGGTCATATTTCTACCGTCTGACAGGTTCTGCAACACAGACATACCTCCCAGCGGCTGACACTTCCCATATTTGTTGTGGCATTTGACTTAGTCTATCGTGAGGTGTCGTGGCTGTGTCTGACTGAAGGGAGTACCGATCGAGCATATGACACCATTCAAACCTCTCTTAAACTCACTCAACCGTGTAAAGGCTTAAGGAGAGTTGTCATCTAAATTGGCGACAACTAATGGTGTCTGCCAGGAATGTCTGCTGTCACCATCGCTGTTTAGCTTTGTCATCGACGTACTAATAGACATAACCTTCAGAACGTCTCACTTCACAAGGACTGACCTACTCCCTGGAGGTCATCAGGTTGATTCAGAGTATGAAGACGATATTATCCTGCTGGGTGAAGACGCTAATGTGACACAGGGTCTTCTGAATATGTTAAACAAAAACCTGAGTATATTTGGCATACGTTTCGCACCTACCAGATGTAAGATGATGCTTCAGGACTAGTCGGCAACTACCTGTATTTAAGAATATGGAGTGAAGTAGTGGGGGGTGTCGATCACTTCACTTACTTGGGAAGTTGCATCAGCCCGAACGGGGTGATTGATGACAAAATCTCAGCTCAGATACAGAAGATGCGTTTGATATTGGTCAACTTACGTCGCCTAAGGGTGCCGACTGGTGAAACATCCGACTATCTATCGAAGGACGAATATGCTTTGCTGCAGTCCGTCCTGTCTTGTTATACACTACTGTGAGACATGGCTGTTGAAAGTGAAAGGCGTGTTGCGATTACAGGGTTTTGATCACAGTGTCTTCGTAGCCATGCTCGCGTTTGGTGGAATCACCGTGTAAGCAATGTTGAGGTCAGGTGAAGGGTACTAGGCAAGACAAACAAATAAATTGACGAGGTTGTTAACCATAGTTGACTGAAATGGCTTGGATATAAACTGCGTATTCTGAGCCACCACCTACCTCGATGTGCCATGCTAGTAGGGGAAGTTGGGTTAGGCCGAAAGCGGGTTCAGGGTGGCCAGTCCAGGAAGTGGAACCAGTATATGAAGTCTCTGACTCTAGGTATTAGCCATGTAGGCTATCGGAGATAATGGGAATCAGTGGTTTAAGACTTTTCGTGATATTGCAGAAAATCGGTCGCAATTACGCAGATGTATTCACTCTTTGACATCTTATAAAGATTGAATATTTTCATTTACTGTAGTCTTCGAGTTATTTATAGGTTTATGCTTTTATTTTGACGTGAATAGTTTAGTATGACGTTAGAGCGAAGAGAGCTTTGAAGCTCATACATTACCATATTGGTAAAATTTATTTATTATAAGGTGAAGCGTACCTTATTTACCTAAGTATTCAGCCTCCTAGCAAAGAGTCTAAAGTGCGAACCGTATCTTTTCTACTTTGTCCCGTGTATCCTGTCATGTATTTAGGTTTTAGATTAGAGTTTCTGTTAGGTCTTATCATATTTGTTTTTTGTCTTTTTACTCATTATTGTAGGTCAAATCCTCAGCATGTTTCTTCAATGTTCATAAATCGCAGTTTATCTGAGTCATCAAATGAACTTAAACAATTATTTGAGAACACATCTAATGCTCTAATGGTTCCCTTGGGTATACTAATCAACCGTTCAATAATCTGGCCAATTAGCATTCAGTATGTTATATTTTTCAATGGCATCTTATTAAAGTATATTTTTCTTTGATTACTATAAATAGAAATGAAAACTTAGGGCCTTGTGTCCCCTTCGGTTGATTAATGGATTTGTGGCTCATCGGTTTAGACACTTGGATTTCAACTGATGGGTTACTGGTTAGAAATCCGCCTCATCTATCAAGGTCCTCACAGTCAGTTAGTATCTCCTTAGCCTTTATACAATATGTATGGCTTATTGCCTACTTCACGAATGTGCGTATGGCAGCTCAGTGCTATTCGATTGTTAATTGGTTATAATACTGTGACATCTAAAGATACTGTGAGGTTTAAATGTAACCATTTTGTGAAATATTACTTCGCATCATTTGTACCCATTGGTTATATTGATAAGGAATGTTTTATGCGAATGTGGGGTCTTCCAACAGTTCTATAATGGTCTTTTATTGGCCATTAGCCGCAAGAAGAGAAGCAGCCATCACAATAAACGCCTTCCTTTACTATTGAATTGAGCATGTTTTCAAATATTTAATGAATCAATATTTTTTTTCATCTGACAGGTGAAAAATGAGTCTCTTACAGCCTACAGTACTCAGTTTGCATCTTGTTGCTGTATTCGGCCAAACCAGGCAATAGTTTTTGAATAAATTATGCTACAGGATCATCTCTAAGTCGATGGATTTTAATCCCTTCAGAGTTTGTAGGAAAAAAGACGTGTAGAGAACAGTTAAATTGACCAATGTTTCTAATACTCAGTTCTGCGTAAACTTCTCCTATGACTACAGGGATTTTAATTACAGTTTATCAGGCACTTGCTTGATGACTTATTGTTTTTTTTTGTTACTGCTATTATTATTGTTGCGCTTGAACCTAGGTTAATCTCAGGATTTATTTCATCTATTATTCCAACATAAGTATTCTATACGTAATCAGTTATTAATATCATTATATAAAAATGCATGTTGAAGTTATCATCTTCAATCTTGTCATTTTCTCCTTCACATTTTCAGTATGAATCATGTCAATAGCACTTTGTGCAATTATTTCATATTTGATCTTCGTCTATGCGATCACTTTCATTGTTTATATGAAACATTCTTCTTAACTAATGGAAGTTTTTCTCGACCACTGTTAGATGAATTATTTCGCAAGGTTAGATTTATTTATTTCGATTGCTTTTTGATAAACTGTATCATTGAGATATTATATTGTTTCGCATGATTCCATTTCTTACATTACCTTATTGAATGACATTCCTTGATTGCAATTATATTTAGAAGATAAGTTGACATATGGAACAAGTAAGCGAAATAAACAGGAAAAACGTTCACTAACTACAAATATAAGACGGTTGTGTCATATCACTAATCAACTAAAGTTGAATATCTTAACTGTTCGAGTCATGAATGCCATTGCTTGACTATCAGACAGCGTCTAATGTGAACTACTATTATCATAGTAGGATGTGAATATCGTTTGGGATATAATTCACTAATGGCTCATTTATTTGATGTAGCATACAATATTTTCACTTATAGATGAATAGTGTATAGGTTCAATTGGATAGTTTCCATTTAGAACTGATCTCAGAACTATTAAAAACTGGAGGTCGACGTTTTCCAACATAGGCGTTGATTCACTACATGGGCCTACCATTATCTAATTTCGCCGACACTGTAGGTCAGGTTACAATTAGGACCTCTAAACATTCGTTTCATCTATTCAATAATTATTCTTAGTATCAGGTATGGATAAAGAATATCTTCAAATCAGTGAGTAATTGTGTTTACTTCTACTCATTTTCAGGCTGCTGGTCCACTTCACGATCGTGCCAAGATATATGACACACATTATCTCCAACAGTTCATGAAATCAGTTATTATGGAGATATCATCAAATCAACAACTGTTAGAATATAATAATCAGGATTGTGATAACAATTCTTATAATTTGTATATGAATACTACTGTCAACTTTCCTCTTTTAAATACAACAAATTTGATGAAAAATCACTTAAATATCATTTCTTCACCAGTATCAAGACGAGTATCCACTACTACTACTGCTACTGATACTTCTATTAACAATGAATATGATGCTGAAATAGGTCATTCCAATAATTCATCTTCAAATGATGATCCACATGGTTATGTCTCTTTTAATCATTTACGTTTAATGTATAATTCACCATGGCCAATTAATCTTTGTCTTAATTCAAATATATTAGACAAATACAATTGTATATTTCAACGTTTAATACAATGTCAGTTTGCTTTATGGGCATTGAATTCATGTTTTCTACAATTGAAACATGATCGTGAGTATTTATTATGTCATTTATTAACATTAAAAACTATATCATCTAAATCATCATCAAAGTCTTTGACTTCATCATCTTTCCTACTACTTGGTATATCGGATCAGTTATGTAAAACTTTTCACTACATACATATATGGTTATATGAATTGCATCAAGTCATTCATAATCTAAATATGTACTTCTATAATTATATTACTATATGCTGGAGTAAATTTATGAAATATCTAGGATTATCTAATACACAGTATAATTTTATGTCTGATGACAATCCTTCAAGGATGTATAATTCAAATGAAAAATCTGTAATGTCAATGATAGCGAAAATTGGAATAATAGTGAACATGTTAACAGTTTGGATTCATTATGTACTGCGCATGAGAAATATTTAAATGATATTATATTTGGGTATGTCACTCTTTCACCTGATATTTTATATGTTCAGATTAATTGTGATTGTGGTTTCACTGTCTTGATATTCAGTAAAATCTTGTCGAGATATTCATATTCTTCGTTTATAACTTCATGGGTGTTTATGATTTATCACACTCGTAAACGATGGCAACAATTTGAAGATATTGGTAATTAAACACGTGGAAGTTTATATATTTTTCTAAATTCACAAGTGATATTTATTAACTATTATAGATAATACTAACGTAAACTAGGTGTGCTGAGTTGTTGTTGACTATCGAACTGCTACTTGGTAAAGTGTATCTCCCGAATGGCCAAACTGAAGGGTCCTACTGTTGGTCTAAACAATGCAGAAAAATATAGAATTCCCGGGTTGGAGTTCACGCGGCAACCGTAATTAATCGTTGGTGGCTGTTGATGATTTGTCCCAGAACCGATCCAAATAGCTTAGGTTGTATCCACACCCTGTCTTCATCCTTTATTTATTTAATCCCTCTTTTTTAGTTTTTTAGCTTTCTGAGATTCTCATTGTATGTTTGTAACTTATAATCAGGGAAATCTTCAGCTTTATGGAGATTAGAACTTGTTTTTAGATAGCACCAACTTTCTGAACAGCCACCACTGGGTTACCTGATATCTTCCCACTACTACTCAAAGTCACTCTCAAATAGATTATATTGCAATCATCTACCTGTGGTTTGGGTGTCTTAAAACATGCCGTTAGTTCTGAAACACTTATCAAGACTCTGATCAAGCTTTAGAAAGTGTTGAGACCATCTCGGACCTTGGTGTTCACCAAAATCGTCATCTAAAACGCGTCGATATAAGCAAACTCCTTGGACAATTAAAAAACCGAGTTAGATTCGAGGTTAGATGTCGAACCTCTAGAGAGCATAAATGAGCACTGACTGCGCTTATAAAAACGCCGTGAAAATTGCTGGTAAAGGTGCTTGTGGTTTTGAAGAACCTCCAGCTAACAATCACTACGTACTTCTTAACCAACGTTTTGGAATTTCTTGGCGCCTATGAGTTAAATTCATAATCTGAGGATAAAATATTTATTTATTTAGTGGTTTACATAAGTTCCTTACTCGAACAATCAAACAACACTTGCACAGTGAGGCCTGGTGGTAAGAGTGTTCAAACGAGATGAGAGCAGCATCTTCCTCTGGCAACACTTGTCACGTGCTCCAGCTAATCGTGTATTCCTGCAGCAAGAAGCTTGACAGTAGTAAAATGGCTTGTTGAATTCATAGTACGCTGATCAGCAAGCTTTGTAGACACCTGCGATGCTGTGCTGAAGCTGTTTGAAAAGCGATATCACTGGTATTCTGTCCCAGTAGCATCGACTTCAGTGTCTCATACTCTATGGTCAGCTGACATTGAGCCACCTAAAGAAGTGGAAATTCAGAAGGAACCCCAAGTCTTAGGGCACCATAAGTTTCCCAGACTACACAACTTATCACGCCTCCTTTCAATGATGGGGGGTGGGGGGGTGGGGACGAGACTTTAGTCATGCAACTACCCATATTGTTTGAGAAGATATGGTAGACTAAGAGTGTTCCGTCGCTACGCAAGAAAAGCATTCTTGTAATTATCCTAAAGAAGGGTCTACATAATTCATAATACAATTATCAGGAAAATCAGTCTGACACTTTTACTGCCATCATACTTCTCGCGTGTAATTTGGAAACTGCTTCATTACTACGGAGTACCGCAAATCTTTATCAATATCATTCAACAACTATATGAAGATGCCACATACCAAGTAATTCACAATGGGAAGCTCAGTGATGCTTTTGAAGTGAAGTGGAGACAGGAGTGAAACAAGGTTGCCTACTATCCCCCATGATATTCCTGATTGTGGTCAACTGGACTGGATCATGCAGCAGACAACAGTGGGGAGCGAGAAGAGGGGGATACGCTGGCTGGACTGCGGAAAAGAACCTAGAAGATCTGGATTTCGCCAACGATGACTTGTGCCTTATGTCACACAAACCTGAAGACCTACAGGCGAAAACTAACAAGTTGGCAGAAGAGGCAGGGCAGCGAAGACGGGACTTCAAGTGAATATAGCGAAGACAGAAGTGATGAAGATACCTCACCAACAACTCCAACAACAACAACAAACTCCAATCACCGTCAACGGGAGAAACTTAAAGGAAGTAACCTCCTTCACCTATCTAGGCAGCACTGTTTCAACTACAGGCAGCACAGGCACAGACGAGGATGTCAAAGTCAGAATCGGAAAAGCAAAACAGGTCTTCATTAGCCTGAAACCAGTGTGGAGATCTTCTGCACTGCACTCAGCATGTGGAACAAGATCCGGATTTTCAACACCAATGTCAGTCAAGTCAGTGCTGTTATATGGTTCAGAGACTTGGCGTGTTACGAAAGGGATTTCCAACAAACTGCAGACATTCATCAACAAGTGCTTACGCTGGCTCGCTACTGAAGATCAGATGGCCAGAATAGTTGGAATAAGCAAGAACGAGCTGTGGGAACGAACCAACCAAGAAGCTATCACGCAACAAATATGTAGAAGGAAGTGGAGATGGATTAGGCATACACTGAGAAAGCCGACTGGGGACATCACGCGCCAGGCCGGGCCCTCGAGTGGAATCCCCATGGGAAGCGACGAGTTGGACGTCCGTGGTGAGGGTGACATGGAGGAGATCGTGCGAGGAGGAAATGAGAGGTTGTGGGCTGTCGTGGAGCCAGGTTCAAAAGATTTCAGAGAAGAGAGTGGAGTGGAGGCGTGCTACTGAAGCCCTATGTTCCACTAGGAACCCAAGGGACTAATAATAATAATAATGATACTTCTCGCGCCCTTCGAAACTCTTGAAAAGTTGATTCCCAGGGAGATTATATCATGGATGCATTGATTACTGGCTCACTCCTCTATCAGACGCTGGAGTAGTGTCACATATAATGCAGATTAACGACCGTTGTATTCCCCGTTATTAGAGCTGTTTTTGATTCGTTGGACAGGGCTATACTCTTGAATTGCCTGTTAGAGAAGCGCATCGCCCGGAAGCTTGTTGATCCCTTGAAAACCGTACACTTCAACACTTCAAACAGAGTGAAGGCTTACAACCACCTATCCTCATTGTTTCAGACCAATTCTGCTGTAAGAGAAGGCTGACCGATTTTGCAATCCCTCTATAACTTTGCCATCGATGAATTCGAGAAAACCCTACTGGGTTTGTGCGGTCGTGTTGAGTATCTGTTGTCAGATGAAAGACTTTTCAACCTCGAGCGTGAGTACGATATGACTTTACTCTGTGACCATAACAAAGGTTACTCAAATAGCACTCAGCGACCAGTGTCCATAGGAATGGTATGGGCTTCTCGCCGTTAAAGTACAAAGTGCTTCTTCACCATTGGGAGGGGTTCTTTACTTGGAATCACCCTCGTTGGTGAGGCATCGGAATCTATCGAGTTTTCGTACCTGATAAGTTATGTGATTGCTAGTAGAGGTGTGACTGACGAGCCTTCCAACCGTATGTCGAAAAGCAGAATATTAGGCGCCAATCTTGGTCACCGGTGCCGTCGTGACTCCGGTCAATAAGAAAGAAAGGTGTACAACACTTCAGTGGTGGCATTTCTGTTCTACTCCTGTGACACTAGTCTATCCCAAGCTGAGAATATGGTACGACTCTGTAAGTAATTCCAGTCAAACACGGTGCGGTCAGGGTGATTTATTCATTGCATGAAGTCATTCTGAAACACTAGCTCTGGTGTCTTCGTTATGTATTGCAAACATCATCCCAGCAGCTATGATACCCATTCACAGTTCGCCTACCCTAGTACTAGTTGCAAGAATCTGAGGGGTCCTCAGTGTATGACTGTGTGCCGCTGGACGAAGAACAATTGTTTTGGGTTGGCTTTTGTTATTGTTTCACGACTGCCTGGATTTGGACCACCAGACTGTGCATGTCACCCTTCCCTGCAGACTTCGAGTACTAAAAGCAGCAGAAGCTGTACAAGTGTAGGCCAAACCTACGCAATGACTTTGAGCAGTTTTCAGCAGCGAAGGTTAAAGATTTAGAGACGGTGATGAGTAAAAGTATATATATATATATATATATATATATATATATATATATATATATATATATATAGGGTGTATCAAGGAAATCTGGATGAAAAAGACAGTTGGTGAGACTGTAGTACAGAAATATGGGTCATGCGATTCACTCGCTCCCACCACTGATTGCCCCAGTCTTTAAGATAGGGGAAAAATCTACCTGTGATAACCACAGGGGAATCACCCTGACGAACATCATATGCAAGATTTGTTGTTCTTCAACCAACAGATGCCTACTTGAAGCTCAGAAACAGCAAAGCCAAGAAAATCAGGCAGGTTTCAGACCTGGTCCTGGATGTATCGACCAGAGATTCATTCTATGTCAGGTTCTGAAACACAGGAACATTTACCCATGTACAACACCATCTGTATTTCATGACCTGAAAGTGGGATTTGACTCCATCGACTGACAGGTCTTATGGCAGTATCTCTTACTGTGAGGAGTGCCAGGTGAAAACATCACCCTATCGAAGGCTGTGTATTGAGACAGGGATAGTTGTGCTAGCACACACAACGAGGTACCAAATGAGTTGTATACGTCCAGTAGTAGTATCTTTCAGTGATGTCCACTGTATCCACTCTTTGTCGACTTTCCAGTGTTCCACCGTTGCCTTCGTAGCATAGGTGGTGTGTTGTGGTGCCACCACGTCAGTAACATAGCAGTCCGGCACAGAGTTCTAGAGAGAAAGCAGAAGTTAGTTTGTGGGGTTTTAAACCTTCATCGGCTCAGGTGGCTGGGACATGTGTAACGGAGGCCTAGGTATCGCTTGCTTTTGGCAGAAGTAAGTTTGGGATGGAAAATAGGTTGGAGCCAGCCAGATTTGAAAAATTAGCATCACTGCATGAAGTTTTTGATTGTTAGTCTGGTCCATGTGGGGAAATGCAGAGTTCCTGGTTAAAGTACCTATGATAACCGAAACTGGTTGTTGGGGACCATATTTGCTATGACTGAGAACGGACGTTTGTGGCGCACTTGCATTCATACATCTTAATCGTCGTACAGTATTTCATAAATATTTTATTTCCCTTGTTCTTTTTTCACAACTTTTAACAATTTTGGCCACTTTCTTTCTATCTTGGCTTATTGTGTGTGATATGAGATGTGACATCTTGGACAGTTTAGCGTTAATGCCAGGTCCTAACTTCAAACAATGCGAGATATTGTGCAGAACCGAAACACATCACAGTTTTTCCTCAGGTTTCTTGGTTCTGCTGTTATCGAGAGGTAGAAAGAAAGTTGTGATTGCTGTTTTGAATGTTTATTTCAAACTTCTCTAATAACCCACGTGTTTTCTTCCTATATTGCCTATATTGCTTTTATGTGTCAATATTATTGTTACTATGTTTTCTTCAGCAAATTTTCGGCACGAGTGTTTTGTTTTATGAGGGTATTAAAAATTTATTTCCTTATTGATTTATTTTAAAGCCGTATTTGTTATTCAGCTCGTCGTAGATAGTTTGTTTTCTCTTGGTCTAGCTGTGGAAGCTGTTGATTCTACCAGTGGGTCACATTGAGGAACTGCTCTTCATCTGTTGTGGTTTGGATAGTCAGGTAGTTCATACTCCCTGACGCCATCGTAATATTTAACTGGATAGTGCATACACTGAAACGTAGTCTTCGAGTCGGATTTCATATTGTTTCATTTTGCGCTGGTTGTTAATATACTAGTTCAGACTATAATAAATCCTAATAATAATAATAATAATAATACTCCCTTTTTTGATTTTCTTCCAGTTGTTTGTTAGATCCATCAGATAATGAGTTGGACCAAATCTTGCAAGGCATGTTGACATGTGCACATCAGTTTCATCGTGCTTTATTAACTGGGAGATGGATTACGAAACAATCTCATAAATCCGATGATGATGAACAAATTGAACACACTGAATGGAGACAGTTACATTCTGTTCATTCTAGTTTTCGGAGTTATAGTCAATTTCTAAGACGTCGAGTTAACCGTTTACTTACTCATCACACTACGGTCAGTGGTGGTGATGTCAATAGCATCCGTTCTAAGTTAGTACAGCTAACATTAATATTCGGTTTGAATGACTTTTACACTTCACAGGATAAAGAATTAAGTAAAATTTGATCGTTTTATTTATTTCAAGCTTTAGAAAAACCCATTTACTTATCAAGCAGATTCTTACATGAACTAATGTTATTTCTTATATGTTTCTTACCTTTTTAATTGTTACTTCGCATTACTGCAAATCGGTATTCGCCAGAAAGCACAAAACTGTCGAGTTGTTTTATATTTTGATGTGAATTTCATTCACCCTTTTAGTCTTTTTTCTTAGCTATATATTTTTAAAACTTATTTGTTTATTATTTTTGGATTTTAGTGTAAATTTTCAAATAAAATTCATATTTATCAACTGATATCAGGTATTTTATCTTGTTACCGTTGAAATAAGTTTCATAGGTTATATTGCATCTTCCAATGAAATGCAATTAACAGCTAATTAGTGTGCAACAATCTACGAATGTTATGTAATTTTTAAGTAGAATCTGAAACTGGTTTTGTAAGGACTCTACTTTCACCTATTAGATCTTGGGTCTTAACCTTTCCTCAACTCCTTCTGTTTAAGTGGCCAGCTGCTTCTACGTGCACCAGTTCCAACAGACAAAGTCAAAGCAGCTATAGAACGTATTAGTAAACTCTGTCTTAAAGAAGAAATTCATAGAATAGTCAAAGAGTTGTACAACATCAAGAATTATATCTAAAATCTTAAGTATAAACTGATACAAACAGTTAGTGAAAAAGATTATGAGCCTCTGATGGACAATTTCAATGAAATAAGATCAATCGCATTCAAGAAATTCAAAAATACTCAGATTAAGAAGTTCAACAAACTTATGGAAGAAAAGCATGCAGTCAACAGTAATGAAATTAACAATGGTATATCACCAATGATCGATAAGTCAAAGTTGGTTGTCAATCTCTCAAGTAGAGTTCTAAGCTTAACAGAAGTGAAAGTGTTAGATAAAGGCCTTAACTTCAATGTAAAGGTTAATGAGTTGAAACCAGGAGGTATCATTCCCAAAATAGAAATATCGTTAAGTTCAATAGATAAGACAATTGCACATGAGCTAAGAGCACAGTGTGCTCTAACACTGAAATAACAGAAGAAAATGAAATCTAATTTACCCAAGTCAGAGAGAGAAGCTCTCAGGAACCTTCAGAATGATAATAATATAGTAATTTTTACAAATCGGATAAAGGCAAGTCAACAGTTGTAATGAACAAATCTGACTACATTTACAAAGTGAACAAGCATATAGAAACAGGACCATATGAGGAAATTAAAAAGTCAGTGGATACTATTATGAATAAGGTCAAGAAATGGACAGGGGATCTGATACGCCGGATGAAGCTGTTTCAAAGTGGTTTAATTTAATGCCGAAAACTAATAATCCCAGTAGAATGTATGGTACTATTCAGATTCATAAGCCAGGTTATCCCATCAGGCCTATAGTAGATTTTAGAAACACTCCGACTTACCAGTTGTCTGAATACTTAGCAGTGGTGTTAGGCCCAATAAGAAACCACTCAAAGTCTCGACCTACCAACTCTTATGACTTAAATTATAGATTAGACGACATACACTTTGACGACAGTGAAAAAAATGGTTAGTTTTGAGATAGCTAACCTTAACACAAATATACCGATCGGCATGGCTCTAGAGGCAGTTAGAAATGGGCTTAAAGATGACAAAGAAATTGCTCATCGAACTGAGGTGCCGAATGAAGAAATCATACTAGGACTACGATTGTGCCTAACATCTACAGTTTTCAAGTTTCGAGATAAGATATATCAACAAACTGAAAGTGTTGCCATGGGATCACCAATATCCTCTATCTTCGCAGACATATTTATAGATAGTTGGGAACAGATGGCTCTTCAAACATTTAGTCCTACTCCAAAGACATGGTTCCGATATGTAGATGATACGTTTACAGTACTGAAATCGGAACACACTAATAGTTTCTTGGCACATATAAATTCAGTAGTGAATGTACTTTAAGATATCTGTGACTTGAAAAGTGAAGAAGGTGAGCTAGCGATGTTGTATTGCAAAATTAAACGAATACAGGAAGGAAATCTAGAGACTAGTGTCTATAGGAAACCTACCCATTCGAATCGCTACTTAGACTTCGAATCCTCTAACCCCATTTCAGTTAAAGTAGGCCTAGTTAAATGCTTAAGTTGTAGAATGAAAAAGCTTACTAGTAGATCAGAAAATATGCGACAAGAAATTAAACATATCAAGAATACCCTACATCTCAATAATTACCCACCAAAATTTATAAATAAATTCATAAGAAATCGAAAGAAAAATATTAGCAGTGGTAGTAGTAATACAGATGTTATTAATAATAATCCCACTACCAATGTTAATAATGGTGGCAGTGTTAAGAGAGAACCCAAAGCCTCTGGTGTGTTACCATACAAGGAAGGCACTTCAGAAGCATTACGAAGAATTCTCAATAAGGCTGGCTGGGATTAAAGTGGCATTCAAACCAACAAACTCGGAAACAAGCTATGTAGGATAAAGATCCCATCGATGCAACTGAGGAAAATAATCTGGTTTACCAGATCCCTTGCCATGATTGCGAGGTCAAGTACATTAGGTCAAAGCAGTCGACCAGGGTCGATTAGAATAACAGAGCACAAAAACTGAGCTAAATCAAGATTATTATTATTATTATTTGTCCCTTGGGTCCCTAGTGGAACATAGAGCTTCAAAAGTACGTCTCTAGTGCACTCTGTTCTCTGCAAAATTTTGAACCTGGCTACACGACTGCCCACAAGCTCTCATTTCTTCCTCACACTATCTCCTCCATGTCATGCTCGGAAGACCAACTCGTCGTTTCCTATATGGGTTCCACTCGATGGCCTGGCGCGCGATATCCCCAGTCGGCCTTCTCAGTGCATGCTCAATCCATCTCTACTTCCTTCTGCATATTTGTTGAGTGATAGGTTCTTGGTTGGTTTGTTGCCAGCCAGCCAGCCAGAGTTCCTTGTTGCTTATTCTTATTATTCTGGCCATCTGATCTTCACTATCGAGTGAGTGTAAGCAGTTGTTGATGAATATCTTTAGTTTGTTGGAAATCCCTTTCATAACGCGACATGTTTCTGAACCATACAGAAGCACTGACTCACTTGAGTGACATTAGTGTTACAAAGCCGAATCTTGTTCTTTATGCTGAGTGGAGTGCATTAGATCTCCACACTGGTTTCAGGTTAATGAAGGGCTGTCTTGCTTTTCCGATCCTAACTTTGACGTCCTAATCTGTGTCGCTGCCTGTAGTTGAAACGATATTGACTAGGTAGGTAGGTAGGTGAAAGAGGCTACTTCCTTTAGGTTTCTCCCCTTGATGGTGATTGGTGTTTGTAGTTGTTGTTGGTTGGGTATCTTCATCACCTCTGTCTTCTCTACATTCACTTGAAGTCGCGTCTTTGCTGGCTTGCCTCTTCTGTCAACTTGTTAGTTTTTGCCTGTAGATCTTCAAGTTTGTGTGACATCAGGCACAAGTCATCGTTGGCGAAATCTAAATCTTCTACGGTCTTTTCATCGGTCCGGTCAGCGTATGCTCCCCTTCTCACTCCTCGCAGTTGGCTGTTGCATGATCCAGTCCAGTACAACCAGGAATATCATCGATGATTGTAGACAGCCTTGTCACACTCCTGTCTCCACTTCGAAGGCGTCACTCAGCTTTCCCATGTGGATCACTTGGCATGTGGCGTTTTCATATAGTTGTTGAATGAGGTTGATAAAGATTTGTGGTACTCTGTAGTGTTGAAGCAATTGGCAAATTACTTGTCGGTAGACGCTGTCGAAAGCCTCTTCAAAGTCTATTAATTTGCTGTAGAGGGTTGACTGTCAAGTGATTATACTAAGTATAAAATTGAGTGTTCGACTGAATTTGACTACTCCTTCTTGAGTACCAGTCATTTGAGTTTAAAATTGTTCATGAATGCTATTATCAGGTGACATATTAGTTCTGTACACGCGGCTTTGTTCTTTTACAGGACAAATGTTTGTAGAAGTTCGGTTAAATAACTGTTTATGTGATTTTATTTTCGATTAATTTTTTATGCATGATATTTATCACAGCCAATGGTTCTGATTTTCTCTGTGGCGACTTTGTTACTCGTCTATTGTCAAAACTCTTCTTGTATGCCTCATTTTTCGGTAATAAAATTGGTTTGTTTAGTAGTTAGTGTAATGATTCTATTTCGTCGATTATCTCGTTTTTTCATTCATCTACTTGTTCTGAAAACAATACTTGATGAAAATGTTTGGTAGTCTTATTTATTATTATTATTTTTATTACCAAATCCCTATGCTGAATAGGCTTTGGACAGAAAATACCTCTCATAGTATTCTCTTAACTTAGGCCACGAATGTTGTGCTCCAAACCATGGGTACCCTCTAATAGTTTCACCTTACTATCACGAAAAGTAGACTATTTGATATGTATGTATATCAACTGCTTTTCTTCTGCTCTAACGATGAGTAACTTAGCATACATTTCTTTTACCGTTTTCTGTTGACTGCTGCGTCTTGTTGTGGACTTTGTTTATTCTTCTGGCTCTAGGAATATTTCACTGAATGGTTCTATTTGTTTGTCTGGCTACTGTACGTTCGGCTGTCTTAAAAATGGTGATCATTTCCGAAGTTTACTTTATTTTGTATAAACATCACTGTACGACCAAGACATTTTACTGAGTCTACTTTAACTAACACGGTTACATGATTTGGCATATGAATAGTTATTCGAATAACAAAGTCTCCCATAAACACTACTTTTTAAACGTCCTTCTTGTTTTCATCTTATTCTGCAGCTGCATCCCTCTCCCCACTTCCTGATTCATAATTCAGAGTAGACATTTTAACTGAAAGTCGTCCAAATACCTAGCAGCAAGATGAAGAATAGACACATGCATGCCAACTTGCGTGATTCGCAGTTGGTTACATTACATCACGTTCACAACTACTGGTTTCGGCCGTCACATACATCCCATCCAAGTAAAGTATATTTCTTTACACAGAAAAGATGAAGATTGACAATCTCATGGGTTGA